CCCCGACGGCAGGTCTGCCGAGGCAGACCACAACGACCATGGGGTTGCTCCAAGGTCCACTCTGCTAGCAGAGAAGTACCAGGAGCAACCCGCATGGTACACCGCCCATAGAAGAGGGCCACCTTCCACCACCCACCAAGTGGGCCACCTCCCTGTGCATTTCTTGGCTTCGCGCCCGGCTGGATTGCCGGGCACTACTGAGCCCCCCCACCACGACAAGGTGAACGCATGTTGGGGGGGTCACAGACATAACCTAACACAACCGATTATAATGATGCTGATGATGACATTACGTGCCGAAAATAATGTAGGGTCAGCGTAATGCAAGTCTTATTGCGCTGTCAAGGTTATATCGACTTTTGTAGTTTAATTAAAAGTTGAACGCGTATAACTAAAATTAATAAGTATTTTTAAAAATATTTTTGTTTGTATAACTAAAATTAATAACACACGTATAATGGAAATAGTTATAGCCGATGATGTAATCCACTGCATCCCTTTTTTGCATACATTATTTGTGATTTAAAAACTTTTAAAGAACGTGTCGTGATAAATGGTTGTGTATTAATTAAAGCCAATATTTTACGAATTTATTTTACACTAGCACTGCCCGCGGCTCCGCCCGCGTTCAGATGACCAAAAACCAAATTCTTAGGTTTTACATATTAGTATACTATTACATTACAGTTTTTGTATTTTTTTTTCAGAAATGAGATATTTTCCCGCGGTAAAAAGTATCCTATATGTTGACCCGGATAACCAGCTATCACCATACCAAATTTCATCAAACTCCCTCCGGTGGTTTTTCCGTGATGCGGTAACAGACAGACAAAAATTCTAAAAACTATAGATTCGGCCTCTGTATCGATAATAATGTTTATTTCAATAAGATTTTCCAAAAAATATTTAATGTAAAGATTTGGCTTAGTTACAATTGTATTACATATATGTATAGATAAGAATTATTATGTAGTAGGTCCCTACTTACATATTACATTATTTTAACACGAGTAAACTCTACGACCCAATTCGGAAGTAAAACTCAAAACTGGCGACGATTTTACTAATAAACATTTTTATTCAATAGAAGCTTTTTGAATGCTTTCTGTGTTATTGAATTGCTTTTGCTGAGGAATTGCCGTTCCTTACTTAGCCTATTACTTCACTTTTTATTTCATGTAAAAGAAGTAAGAAGATATTAAAAAATTGACTGGTTTACAAAGATTTTTCAACGATATACTCTTATTAACGAGAACAAGTATAGCATCTGTATGTCTACTCTACATATATAATAAAATTGTAACTAAGCCGAATCTGTACATTAAATATTTATTGGAAAATCTTATTGAAATAAACATTATCGATACAGAGGCCGTATCTTTAGTTTTTAGAATTTTTGTCTGTCTGTCTGTTAACGCATCACAAAAAAACCACTGGAGGGATTTTGATAAAACTTGGTATGGTGATACCTGGTTATCCGGGTCAACATATAGGATACTTTTTACCGCGGGAAAATGTCTCAATTCTAAGAAAAAAATACAAAAACAGTAATATAAGAGTATACTAATATGTGAAACATAAGAATTTGGTCTTTGGTCATCTGAACGCGGGCGGAGCCGCGGGCAATGCTAGTCTACATATATTACTAAAATTGGGCTCGTGCGAAGTAAGATTCATATAACTCTGAAAAAACAAACACGGATATTGCGTCAGAATTTCGCTCATGTATTGATTATTCTTTACAATTCACACTTATTTCTGTCTATAACAATACAGCATCTAATAAATACTCGATCTATTATTATAAGATAATGTTCAAATTTCATTAAAGCTTCGAATAACAAAGACTACGCAGCACGCAGCTGCAAGAATAGCCGGTATAAGGGTATCAAATGAAGTCTGTCAATCTTTTTTTATACCACCAGGTACCTATACCATTTTACCTTTCGTGTAACGAGCGTCCGTTGAAATACTTTTACAGATTTTTTTCGCCATTTTAATTCTTGCGGCTCCAATAACTTAAAAAGCATATAAGATATTCTAATTTATAATGTAGTGTATTTAGCTTAAATGAGGTAATAAACAGACAGACAGGGTTAATTTTATATAGTATTTAATAATATTTTATGATTAATGTTTTGAGGATAAGCATTCACGTGTCTTGTCTGCTTGTCTTGGTACAGAGCAATTTAAGCTGGATGCTCCAATTTCTTATCAAAGCCACTACTAGCTTGATATTAAAAACAAAAAAAAATTGTGGAAAGTTGCAATGCGAACGTTCTGGAATAGGTATCTAAATACCAAGTGGTCTAATATGAAACACGGACGTGATAATACAATTGGTGGTTATAAAATAATTTGAAATAATAAACAAGCATGACCATTGGTCTAAAACTAGATAGTAGCTACTACCTACATATTTTACAATATAACATTGTGCTCTCAAGTTTACGAATTAAACTGCGTCAAGACCGGGATCAATCGATCAGTTATTTAGGTCTGCATCGCAGCTGGTATTATCGATGAGCTGGCGTGTTTATTGAATCATATCACCGAGAAATTGCCTTGTGGTATTGTGAAGTAAATATCTCGTATTTTCCTGTATATCTGTTACTGTAAGGAATGCTCGACGTTTTACTGTTTTCGGTAAACTAGTAAGAATGTGTAATGTAATTTAAATTGAACAAGGAAGCGAATGATTAGCATCCTTACACGGCGCAGGTGTTCCAAGTTGAACGACACGGCTATATGTAATTATTTGTATTATAATTTTATGCCTTCGCGACCAGATTTACGTTGAGAGTTGAGGCTGTGTTAAAATTGTGGAAGGCTGTAGCGCGCGACCGGTTTCACTCGCTACTGCTGCAGCTGTCGCTGTCTGTGGACTACAATGTAGGTACTCTTCCAATTTATATATTGTTATCGTTGGTTTGTGAAATCGGCTCATGTTATAAACGTATTATCACGATATTTAATTACGTCAAGAAATGCATCTATATGAATTTATCATTTAGCTTTACATTTTAGTACTCGTGACGTAACAAAAAGCTGATAACATACGGTACTAATATCAATTATAAAATTAAGCTTGCAGTTTAATTCCGTTCTCATTATTACATATTAAATAACAATTTATACCTATGTAGAGAATAGTAGGCCGCGGGGGCGTCCCTAGGTGCCATTAAATTTATCATCACTGAAATAACAATAATATCTATATGGACATATATATTTTTGGAGTACGTAGCCTTCCAATGTTGAAAGAATTGTTTAACTTGGTTCAGTAGTTTCAGAGTATATCCATTACAAATTTATGCTTTCTCTTTAGCATATTATATACCCACTAGTGACTCACCCTCGCTTCGCTTTGGGTTCGTTCCTAGTAAAAAAAAGAAACAATCTATACCACGGGAACCGTTCACTTTCTGGGATAAAAAGTAGCCTAAGTGCTACTCCAGGATATAATCTATTTCTGTGTCTTTCATCCAGATCCGTTCAGCCGTTTTGGCGTGATAGAGTAACAAATATCCATCCATCTTCACAAACTTTCACATTTATAATATTAGTATGGATAAGTATAGTTTATACTACATTATTGTATAAAATATAAATGTAAGATTGAATGAACCAAAATACTTTTTTTATTATTTTATAATTTATTCTCAAAAAAATAAATAATTCTATAATATATTAAAACAATACCTTTCTGGTTCTAAAATTTTCTATAGTTCACAAGTCATCTTACTATTGAATAAAGATAACAAAAATGACATTGATGTATGCAATGCTATACAGGCTTGATGTCGTTGTCAACTGCGCGCGACTCTGATTAATGTTTGTTGTCGAGTTTTTTCATTTGCCTGTTGGCTGTCCAACTAAGTTTGTCATGTTAGAAGTTATTTCTTCCTTTCCGTCCTTCCTTACTTCCATACATTTGTTCTTTTCTAACGTAAATAAGACATATCGAATCAGCGGCCAACTTTAATTGAATAATAATTAAAAAATTGGGCTTTTTCATTATATTCACGTTAGCAATTTCTCATAATGACAGGATAGTATTACTGTGAGTATTTTATTTTTGAGTCCATTGTTATGTCCCTATATAAATATCGACCGATTTCAATTGGCATTATAGAATACTAGCGACTCGCCCTAGTTTCGCTCGGGTTCGTTTCTAGGTACGTTTTGACGCTTAGTATAGAATATGATGAGTTTTATGCCCCTTACTTGAGTAATGATTGATTCCCCGTACAAAGTCCAACCCCAAACCCCCCCCTCACCCCTCTCCCACCCACTTTAACCTCTTTAAGGAATGATTTTCGTGATAAAAAATATTCTATGTCCTTCCCAGGGTCTTAAACTATCTCCATACGAAATTTCGTCTAAATCGGTTCAGCGGATTAAGCGTGAAAAGGTAACAGACAGACAGAGTTACTTTCGCATTTATATATTAGTAATTACTATGGACTAGTATGGATTTATATTATGGAAGCAATGACGTAGGTACCTACTTCGATAATAATAATAAATAATGAAGGATAGACTTAACGAGATATCTATACATAAATTACAGGTAAACGATGTAAGGATATATGTATACATCATGTGTAAAAAAAGGTAACTATAATATTGCGTGCCGCTGATCCCTGCTAACTTGCTCCCAGGAGAATTTGAGTAGCGCGTGGGCGATTCACGCCATACATTAATTCGACGTGCGCGGGGACTATGATAGAGTGACCATCGAAAGAACTAATAAATGAAGTTAGTTTTTCGATAGGCATTTAATAATACGTATGAATTCCTTTGGTAATACGAGTAATCATCGATAATAATTGGTTTCTTTTTAATATGTAGATACCTATCTACTGAGTACTGATGGTATATTGGATTATGTATAGCTATAAAGTGAAAATACAAGTAATTTAATGTCTACACGTGTAAAATATAAACAAAGTGATAGTTAAGAAACTGTTGCTACAGATAAATCATAAATTATTATAATGAGAACGATATCGCCCTTAACCAGCGGTTTCGTTCCGATGCAGCCAGTCCCCCGGCCCCCACCCCGCATCTCAAGTGCATCCTCCCTCGCCGCGCCCCGCGATCGTTCCCGTGCCCTCGGCCGCACGCCGGCGCCTGGTGCATCTGCTCCCGACCCAGCCTAAACCTATTCCTTTGTGTACACTGCATTTGTTTGTATAACTTAAATATGGTTTGTCAATACATAAAGGTGAACACAAAGGAACTATTGTTTAACAATTTAACAGCGCTTCTGTATGTGCTTAATGGGTATACTAATATTTTCGTCATTGTATTCACTGTTCTGCAGATTCTGACATTAAAAATATATAAAAAACAATGTAACTACCTACTTATATAATAAAATTTTATATTATTATTTCATAACAATTTTATGTTGATTTTCGTGTTGACATCGTTACCGCAGCCAGAAGTTTTCCGTGATTGTTGCCAAATAATAAAAGTATTTTAAAATTGTAAATGAAACGATGCAGGCCAGAGTTGACTGTGTTAGTTATCTGCTAGTGGTTCATGATATAACGCTCATAGTCCGCTTCGAGAGATAAAAGCGCAGGCAGAGGCGGAGGGTTGCGAGGGTGAGAGCGCGGGAGGGTGGGAGGTCGCACGGACGAGCGCGGAGGCTGCGCGGCGCCCGCAGGCACAGTCGCCCGCCGACCGCGCGCTCCCTATGTTCCACTGCATCGTGCAGCCGCGCCACGACTGGGGACCGCCCGACCTCGCCAATGCATTCCCCGGTACGATCCATTGCACCCTCACCACCCGTGACTCACATACCCGTGGAAACGTAGCTGAAACTGTCGAGTTCTGTCGGAAACAAATTATTCGAAAACAACACATTTGTCGAACTTCCTATATCTTCCCGTTAAAAGCTATCGTCTAATTATAACTGTGCTTTCGGAATGCGGACATAAAGATTTGATATGAACAAGAATCGAAGCATTTCTCATGGAAATTGTGTGATTCTATCATTTTTTATAGTGCCGGTGCGTGCGAATTGTTCACTCTCACGCTATGCTCATATTTTGCACACAATGTTGTTACTGTGCTGTGTTTATTATATGTAACTCACCAAAAAAAAAACTATCAGCCATATTCTTTCCTTTTTAGTTTTTTGTGTAATGAAGCTCAGATACTACAATAGCAGGTAGTAAAATCGTAATGTATGTATGCTAATAGAGACGTACGAGAAGTTGATTTTACTGCACCAAGTAATTTAATGGCCACTTTTCACGTACGTCCGAAACGAATCACCGAAGGTCGTTCCCGCATCTCCGGCCGTTGATATTGTTCGTCGTCGGACTATATTACATTATACATATGTATCAGCTGCTTAAACCGGTGCCATAATAAACATAACCTTTTTGAACACTAATTATTTCCATTTTAGTTTTGTCTGTGTGTCACATGTGTGGGTATAAAACAGTGGTAAGTAAAAGAGTAATAAAAATAATTGACATCGGGATAATGGCGTGGCGGGGGTGGAACGTTCGCCGACAAATACGACTCCCCTCGATTATGATCCCCTTCGACGTATGACCCTGTTCCTCACGAAGCATTATTTATTACTCATGATATTTCCGGTTGATTTTTTTTTGTTTTATTTAATTCCTATTTAAATTTTTTTACCCCAGCTCGTACAGCCGAAGTGCTGACACTATCACCAACCTTACTTGCAGAGGATGACGCACTTTTAACAAACATTGATGTATTAACGCTTTTTAAAGATTTATCATCCGAATAAGTTAACAAATGGTGTGATTACGCAGTCAGCCCCTCAGCAATGAGTGTTCTGGAGCGCGGGGCGACTTGTGGGAACGTTGGCTTGATAGTCCATTGAACTTCCGCCATTTGCACCCAACAACGATTTTGTTCTTCCGCTTTTAAGCTGATAAATGATTTAAAGCGTTAACCTAATTTTAAATTATGTGTGGTTTACGATAGTTATTAAAAAACTTCATATTTCACTCTTTATAAGGTATTTGTTGCTGTTAATAGTAAACATTATGTTGGTAATTTCTTATATTATTATATTGTAATACATTGTCTCCGATGAATAGGTAATCAATATACTACAATATGCTTTGATTATAAAAGACATGTTTATAATCAAATGTATTAAGTACAAGTGACCAGTAAAAACCGCAAACGCACCTGACATATTTTGCCAGATTAATTTTGAAATTTAACGCCTCTAACAAGTTACCGGTGCGACGTTCTTTCCCCTTTATGTGTCATATTTCTTAAAAAATAATTTCCACGTGTGTTGTACAGAACTTATGGTCATTTTAAATTTTGGCTGACCGTGTTACGGTTTTATTTTAGATTTTAATTAAAATAAACTAAAAGCTTTCGCTTAATAATAAAGACTTTACTCAAGGTTCGTAAATTATATACAATCGAACCCTATCAATCTAAAAGGCTAAGAAATATATCCAATAATATTATTATTGATCCATAATTATTCATAAACATATTTGTTACCCGTTTAGGGGCAGTATATTTTGGTAAATATGAAAGAAAATAAAAGCAATAAAGATTTGTGATTGTTTATGCTCCCTTGTTTGGTCGATAATTGTTCAATCGTTCGTCTTTAGGTAGTTCTTTTCAGGTCTGAGGCATATCTTTTGAACTGTTGGTTAGTTTTTAACAAACAAACTGTTATATATAACTTTCAAGTGTATTACTGAAAGAAACTAGTATTGAATATGTGAATTAGACTAGTCTCGGATAGACCCTGACTTTAATATCTAATGTTTTCAAAGAAATATACCAATCGTATTCAGTTTTTGATAAAGATATTTTAATTTATTGCGACTATGGAGTTGTCCGCGTTCATCATTTTCAACGTTGTTTTTTAAATGCATAGACAGATACAGAACATTTTTATCAGTCGTTTAAAACATTCAATCTTTTAAGGTTAGGTTTAGGTTAAAAGTATTCTATAATATATATTGTTAGTACCTCGAATTGTTTTCTTCATATATTTATAAGAGTAAGGACTAATTAATATTTTCTTTTCAGACATACGTGTGCAGCTCTCAGAGCAGACACGGGTGTTGGAGGCGCGCGCGGAGGCGGCGGCGGGCGTTGCAGGTGAACTTCACGACTACTGTCGCCGTCGCGCTGACCTGGAGCATGAGTACTCCCGCGCGTTAGACAAGCTGGCCCGTGCAGCTGCACAACGACACAAGGACCAAAAACACAAGTAAGTGCCACTTTAATATAGACATTCATACGTTTTCCTCTATATAACACACGCATAACAACCTGAATCTATTTTTTTATGTTTTTTTTGATGACGAAATTCATTTTATGACCCTTGTAGGCCAATGGTCTTTGCAAGGACTCTCAATTACTAAAACTCACAAGGGGGACTCCATCACAATTGCAATGTGGCGTTGCAGAATCGCTTTAGCACGTACTACAACATCCCAAATAGTTTAGTATACTGTAAACTAAATATTTAATGGTATTATATCTTATAATGTTATGCTTTCAATACCAGAAGCGACATGGTATAGAGTCACATTGTTATTCTCTGAGCGGATACTTTCACATCTGAGCCTCGAAGTCTTATCTAAGAGTAAAAGTCTAGCTAGTCCAAATACCTTAAAATCAATATATAAATATTCGTTATATGTTCAATCGAACCTACTATCTGCGATATACAGTATCAATATCAATCAGACATCAGGCGCGCTACGTCGCTCGTGCTTTTTTTGTAAGAATTATTTAGAGCAAATAAAAAAAACGACATCATGAAAGGTTAAAGTTGACTGAGATACAGGTAACAGGATTATTAAAATAGCTCGAATGGATATTGGACCCTAGGCTTGGAGGTCAATGTATTTATATAAAGTGTGTAAAAATCAATAACTAAGAGGCTTGGTCAGAGATGATAACCTTATTGCTACACTATCAGAGATTTATCTTATGATACCTTTAGATAATGTTACTTCTTCATGAACTCTACATGAACAATTAAAATGTCAATTCTATAAATATTCTTCGAAACTATTTTACACTTATGTAAACAAATCTATCCCACGGGAACCGTACATTTTCCCGATAGAAATAGATTATATTCCAGACTATAATCTATCTCTGTGCTAAATTTCATCTAGATCCGTCAGCCGTTCTGGCGTGATTGAGTAACAAACATCCAAACATCTAAACTTTCACATTTATAATATATGTACATATGTTTCAATTTGTGGCTATTAGTCGATGCATATAAAATCATATCCAGAGTGATTGATAAATTAACGACTTTAGCAAACTTATGGACCCAAAAAGGTCTGAAACAATCATACATCAACATAATAACATGACTAGGATCAATAATAAAATATTGTTGGTATTTTGAATCTTTTCTTTGCGAAAATGAGTCAAATATTGTATAAAAATAATTTTGTAACAATTTTTTGTTTCGGCGTATTTTAAAATTTGACCTATTAGAGAATAATGGTTACAAAATTTATAGGACGAGCAGTATATTTGGAATGTGCCAGATTTCTAATTAAGTGATATAGTCTAAACCGAATTGCTTATCTGCACACCAATAAAATGCAATAAAATTTTATTCTTATCTGTTAGTTTTTTTTGAGGTTCTAGGAAAATACGAAATCAATGTAAGAGGAAAGATGATAAATTAACAGCACAAAATATGGAATGAGTCCAAGGTTTTTTGTATGCAACGGTTGAATATAACCCGATTTAATCAAAAAATATTTTTGAATTTCAGTTCTTATTTTGAACATGCAATTATGCTTTCAGACGTGAACAATGGCCGTTAACAGGTGCATACGCGTGCTGGCAGGCGGCTTTAGAGAACACACGTTCGTTGTCGCGCGACCACGCGGCCCTGGCTGAGCTGTACGGCGGGCCGCTCGCCGCGCGGCTGCAGCGCGCCGCCGACGATGTGTTACGTCTGCACAGAAAGTGCCGGGATATAGGTGAGTTGGAGTTATGTTTTTATTAGACCTATTATGTATGTTTAGTTATTTATAATTCAATTTATTTACTGTGATACCTATAACATTTATGTAGTGTAGACATATATTACGAAATTTTAATTTTTATTCAAATAAGTAATTTTACTTAATTTTTTTCTCATTCCTTGTTGCTATACTTAAATATATTATAAATCACCAAAACAATCTAAAAAATAATAATAATACTTATCTCATAGAAAAATAGAAGGAATTGAAAGGCTCGAAGGACCATAAATTTGTAAAAAAACTTTAAAATAATATGAACATAATAATTATTAATCAGTATTGCAAACATCTATATTTCTTTTTACTTCCTTCATCTGTCCCGCAACATAACACTATTTCTCACATTCATTGGTCACCGTTAGATACCTCTCTTATAAATAAGTCTACCATTCCCTACTTCTACCTTCCTATCCCTTATTCGTATTATTTTCATATTATAACTATATACATTATAATATCATACACCCAGTGGCAGAACGTCACGAGGAGGTAGGCGCAGCGCTAGCAGAAGCAGCGGCGGGCGGTAAAGCGCACGCGGCCGCCGCCGCCGACTGGCGCGCCGCCGCGCTCAAGCTGCGGCACGCGCACACTGCACGCGCTGCCTTGCTGCAGGCTGATCCGCCCAGGCATAAGAAGATAAAGGCGCTCGATAAGGAGTTGGAGAAGGTGAGTTGTGTAGTTTTAGACCTTATTGGGTTGCATATAGCTCTAATAGCAACTTATAGCGCTTAAACAACGACATGCGTATATTACGAGTGCTAATTACTTCAGGCTGATCTGTCCAGGTATAAGAAGATAAATGCGCTCCATAACGAGTGGGAGAAGGTGAGTTGTTTTAAACCTTATGACCTAAAGAATTAGTGTGGTAGAGCATTATACAGTACGATATCAGGTGTCGACCACAGTGTTCTAAGATGTCTGTCTATCTAGCTGATTTTGTTATACTTGTGTCATTTGGGTGATATATCATAAGGTAGTCGTTTAGTGTGGCATATGTCCCAAATGGCATTTTTTATTACGGCGGGCGACGTGGATTCAGTTACCGTAGGGTGTGAATGCTTTTATTGATGCACATGTTTATACCAGTTTCGTTCAGCTAGCATTAAATATCTCAATATAATGAAGTACTTTATTATAGCCTTGAACACTGTATATAAAAAATGAGATTAATAATTTATGAATATTGTATTGTTAAGCAATAATAGACATAATTTGTTTCGAGAGTGACTCTTTAAGTTGAAAGTTGGGTATATAATGTTCATTCAAGTATATATACAATTACATGTGTAATTGTATAATAATAATATCTCAGTATATAAAGCTATGCAGTACGCGTTCGCCCATTGATTTTACTGGAAATATTCTCATATGCCAAACAAAGGGTTGTAAAAAAATATCAATTTTCATGACTTTTTAAGTTAAAGCACTGCTGTGCCATCGTGCAAATTACAGTTATACTATAAAGTAATATATGATTAATGGTATATTTCTGTGAGTTTTGGCGACACAAATTCCAGATACAAAAGTCATCACATCGCACTCCACTTGTTATTTATCTTCCGTGTTTAAACCTAAAACAAAAACCATTTCCCAAATCACTACATAGTATAAAACAAAGTCGCTTCCCGCTGTCTGTCTGTCCCTATGTATGCTTAGATCTTTAAAACTACGCAACAGATTTTGATACGGTTTTTTTAATAGATAGAGTGATTTAAGAGGAAGACTTACATGTATAATACATGCATATTATAGTACAGAATAAACGAGAAATTCAAAGATTTCATATTCAGCGTTAAAACGAACCTAGGGACGAACCCGAACGAAGCGAGGGTGAGTCGCTAGTGTCATATAAAAGCAAGTATGACATTTGGGTGCACCTTGCCAGCATCTCCCTCTACATGCCCCACATGATGGCCCTGTCTAGACGCCTTCGTTAGGCACTGTATGGATTATAATTTATAATTCATATTATTATAGTCCACTAATAATAATATTAGTGGACTGTGATAATGTTGTTTTAAATCTTTTCCTTGACAGAGACGAACGCGACACAGCGAGGCGCGAGCCAAGGCGCTGAGAGCGCGCGCCGACTACGTGCTGAGCCTAGAGGCGGCCAACGCGACGCTGCAGCGATACTACCTCGACGACATCGCCGATATCATGCTTGTGAGTAGCTTACTTTAAATGTTGTCGTTCTCGTTAAAAAAAATTGTAAACAATCAATATTAAGTTAACCAAGACGTCTAAGCGGTACCTTTTAATTATTTTGTACATAAACATTTTTAACAAAAAAAAAACAAAAACCGTCTTAAAAAAAGCACTAAAAAGTAAAAAATAACTGATTGGTAGTTTTCATTTACTATACATACCTAATCAAATATTTTCGAAATGCGTGTGCTTTGCATATTGTACCTAGTGAATTAACCTCGGTTTGCGCGGGTAAAAGCTGCCTAACAGTATCGTTTTATGTATTATGACCCCAGGTCATAGTCTTTTTGTATTATACATAGCATTATATTTCATTAACATTCGTTCAACCGTACCAATATGAAAGAGTAACAACACACGCATTTATAAAAGTAGTCCCGAGTCCGATAAAATATTGAACATAGTAACGTTCGTTCGTCCAGTGCACGGAGGTAGGTTTCGAGGCGGTGGTGGGGCGTGCCGTGCGCACGGCCAGCGCGGCGGAGAGCGCGCGCGCGCACGCCGTGTGCGCCGCCGCCGGCGCGCTGCTGGCCGCCGCCGACGCGCTCGACGCGCTCGCCGACCGCCAGCGCTTCGTGGCCGCGCACCCCGCCGCTTTCGCGCTGCCGCGCCCGCTGCCCTACGCCGGCGACGCGCCGCCCGCGCAGGACGCCGAGATGCGCGACCTCGTGCAGGGCGCCGCCGACGACCGGGACGAGGCGGCGGACGCCGCCGCCAGGGATCTGTCACAGCGCCTAGCCCAGCTGGAGACTAGTGCGCGCGCGCTGCGAGCCGAGTGCCGCGAGGCGGCCAAGACGCTGGACGCGGCGGAGGCGGAGCTAGTGCGGCAGATGGAGGGCGCGGACACGGCGTGGGAGGTGGGCGCGCTGTTCGCGGCCGCGCCCTCCGCGCCCGCGCCGCCCGCCGACGACGACGCCCCGCGACGCGACCAGGAGGATTATTATCTTGCGGTGAGTGGATGTTGGATATGTTTTGTAATTTGTTATTTTATTTAATTAGTGTGGAGATAAAATACTATGTTAAAAACACCCTTGTTTTAATTGCCAAATTGTGTATTTTATTCTAGTTTATTTCCTTATAGTTCATACTAATTTATACACAATATTTCCTTACAGTTTGTATCAATAAAAAGTATACCAAATTTAAATTATACACATATACGTGTTAAAATTTAGCTAAACCTATGAGTTATAGTTATACAATATATTTATGATCTATAGTATATTTAAAAAATAATTGAAAAAATGTATGTATAATTGCAGAAATTCAGATCATATGTATCGTGCGCGGGGCGTCTCGCACGGCTCGAGAGCAAGGCTATGGCGGTGCGCGAGCGGCTGATGGGCGCGGGCGCGGCGGGTGCGGGCCCGGGCGCGGCCATGGCGGCGCTGACGCCGCGCTCGCCGCCGTCGCCGCCGCGCCGAGCCGCCGCACGCCGTCGCGGGCACTTCGCCGCGCCGCTGGACGACCGGCTGCCCGCCGTGCTGACTTCGTGCGTGCGCGTCATCGCCACTTACGGCCTCAACCACCAGGGCGTGTTCCGCGTGTCCGGCTCGCAGGTGGAGATGCAGGCGCTGCGGGCCGCCTTCGAGCGCGGCGAGGACCCGCTGGCGGGCGTGCGCGATGCCAGCGACATCAACTCCGTGTGCGGCCTGCTCAAGCTGTACCTGCGCGAGCTGCGGCCGCCGCTGCTGCCGCCGCAGCTGCAGGAGCGCCTGCTGCGCGTGGCCGCGCTGCGCGACGACGCCGCCTTCGCGCGCCGCCTGCGCGACACGCTGGCCGCGCTGCCGCTGCCGTCGCTGCTGGTGCTGCGCTACCTGTTCGCCTTCCTCGCGCACCTCACCGAGCACTCCGAGCGCAACATGATGGACGCGTGGAACCTCGCCATCTGCCTGGGGCCCACGCTGCTGGCGGCGTGGGGCGAGGGCGGCGCGCAGGTGGCCGCGCAGAACCTCGTCAACGAGCTGGTGAAGCGCGCCATCCTGCACCACGCGGACGTGTTCCCGCAGGACGTGGCGCCGCACACGCTGTACGTGCGCGCGGAGCCCGCCGACGCGCCCGACGGCCACGCCGCGCCCGCGCCCGCCCCGGCAGCCGCGCCCGCCGCCGCGCACGCGCCCGCCGCCAACGGGCCGCTCGTAGATCTCGCGTGAGTTTGTTATTGGTGGACACGACGTGATATTCTGCTGTAATAATTATTATATACAAGTTACAACAGTCTAGTATCCCAAATCATGTCAAGATTTTCAAATTCAAACTCGAAGCATATCATAATATAACGATAATATTTAAAAATATCTACATAATAGAATTCTAGAACAGTAGTATTTTACTTTTAATTGCCTCGGTGGTGTAGTCGCTAGCAAGTATGGCTGCACATCGAGAGGCCCTGGGTTCGAGTCCCGGGTCGGGTCAAGTTTAGTTATTGAGTCTTTCTATTTAGTAAGTTTCCATAACAGCCCGGAGTTCGAAAGTTGGCGGTGTTTACCCCCGTGCCTCGGAGAGCATGTAAAACCGCCTTAACTTTCACCGGTCGTGTCAAGCACTTTGGAGGCACCTTTGGAGTATAAGAGTGACAGGAATAAAGTGAGAGTGACAGGAGTAGAGTGTGTCTGCGCACACACTTGTGCACTATAATATCTCCTGCGCAGTTGGCTGGTCTCAATGAGATTGGCCGCCGTGGCCGAAGTCGGTCGGGAGCTTATTATATTATTATTATACTTTTAACACTTTTAACTTTGTAAAAACTATATGAATAAATTATTCTTTAATTATTAATTATTATCACTGGTTTGTACCCGCAGGTGTGGGGAGAGTGCGTTGGATGAGGACGAGGCGCGGGACCTGTCGCTGTATGAAGACGACGACGATGATGATGATGGTATGATGTCGACCTTTTATGTATTTACTTGTAATATTAATTTTCACACCGTTTTTATTGAATACTAGCGACCTGTCCACGCTTTGCTCGAGTACATTTATAGGTGTCTAACAGTAGCTATGTGTTACTCCAAGACCCAAGTCATAGTTTATCTGTGTACTAAAATTTTATCCAAATCGGTCCAGCCGTTTCAACTTGAAGGAGTAACAAACATATAATGACCAAAGTAGTCAAGTAATTAAAAAGGTCAGCGTTATGTCTTAAAAACTTGACTTAATTTTGAATGAATTAACTAAAATTTATTTAATATTGATAATGAAATAGTAATGTTATCAAACTCAAAATATATTAAAATTAATTTTATATTTTTAATTGTTTATGTGTATTGTGTATATTGCCCATAATTATGTGATATAGTTGTAGGTTAATTATAAGGTCATTCTTTTAATTCTGATGAAGACAGTCTTAATAAAAGTATTAAAATGAATGAATAATAGTATTTTAATAATAGAATTTTACCAAATAAGTGATCTAATGTTATATATTACCACCAACGTCTGCAGACGCGGCCAGTGACGGCGACGCCGACACCGACGTGTGGCGGCGCGACCCTCCCCGCAGGTGCGTTCAAAAACCTTCTACTGCTAGGTTTAGAGCATTAAATAATATAAATAAATATGTTGGTACATTAATACATAGCACCATTTAGTCCGTGGTAAGCTACGAGGCTTGTGTTATGGATAACAGATAGTTGATACACTACACATAAATAACTTTAAATACATACATATTATAAATATAAACACCCATGACTGAAGTACAAACATTCGTTTTCATTGCACAAATGAATGCCCCCAGCGGGACTCGAACCCGCGACCGCTGGCACAGCAAGTAGCGTAACTACATACTGAGCTAAACCTGTCGTCAATATATTATTATGATGTAAAACGAGATTTTTACCATGTTTAGCGCCTACTTTTGAGAGGTCCCAATACTTCGGCACTGTTACAAGGGCACGAGTATATTGTTGACTTTTTAGGTGAATGCTATACTTTTTATTAGCAAACAAATCATAACAAAAATTTAATATCCCCTATAACCCGTTCCACCCGTCAAATATCCCGTTTTACATCATAATAATATTGTCAATTATTATGATGTAATATAAAATACTACACTAGTGATGTACCCTCGTTTTACTTCGGAGCGTCCATAGGTGTTTTTATATTAATTTTTTTGCTTCATTTCAAATTTAGGCATAGCTCATAAAGCAACTCCACTTTTCAACTTCCACTTATTTCCCGACTTCAAGTTATTAGGATTTTAATCAAAATAAAAAATTGCCTATAGCACTCGGCGGTTATGTATGTTCCTATAGTGGAAAAAAATTCAAAATCAGATCAGTAGTTTCAGAGATTACCCCCCTACACACAAACCTACAAACTATACCTCTTTATTATTAGTATAGACATAATGTTCTCAAAGATAACACATCTTGGAAATATGGGATCGTCTCGCGACTCTTTCCATGTTTATATAATAATTTTTTAAAATATGAACTGTAATCCCGTTGAGTCTGGAAATTTTTCTCAAGACTCCTTAGTTTTTTTTTTTCATTTTTTCTGCTGGTAGAAATTTTCACAAACAAGCTTTTTTCTGAATTATCGACATTGTATAGAAACATAAGGCCAAAGAGTTTTTTTTGTACATTGAACGCGGGCGTAGCCGCGGGTTCCGCTAGTTGTATATAAATATGTGTTTTCAATAATAATTGTATGTATAATTATTACTATTGCAGGTCGTCAAGCAGCGAGCGCCGCGCCCCGCAGGTACTCGCCTGACCGCCGCCGCGCGCGGCCGCCGCGATACGATACCATACTCAATATCCACTCGATTTTAATCAATCGATGTCTCGATTATATTTGGAAGACGTTAAAAATAAAAATATTTCTAAAACATAATAAACTCAAGGAATTTAGGTACTAGAGTGATATCTTGTCTTCGATACGCGAGTTAGACTCGTGTTTTTTTATCTATTAATGATTTATTCTGTATTTTTGTAAAAGCCTTTAATGATTGATCAGATGTTATGATGGTAATTTAATTGATGATTTTTTAAAATAATATTATCATTGGATGTCTTATTCGTATTTTATCATTGTCTTATTGTTAGTTTATGTATACAATTTAGATGTTTTCATATAACAGGTAGGATTGCATGTCTAGTGTTCATCCTTTGAGCTTAACTCGTATATTTTATATATCGGATTTATTGTTGTAATAAATAATATGTACACATACATATATTGGGCACAAATTGTATGGAGAAAAAAAAAGTTTTATTCTACTAACGTTTATATAAAATATTTTTTTATAAAATTTAACTTAACTTTTATGGTGTTAAAGAATTAATGCATGTTTATAAATATAAACAATTTTTAATATTGTTTTCACGCTTCTTAGGATTAATTATTTTGTTCAATATTCTCATATGGGTTGTCGCGAGGGAGAGTAAGAGGCGGTGCTTTGTTTTATTTAAGCGCAACAAATAAATGAATAAATAATTTCAACGCTACTTGGGTTTGATTTGTCGCTCGCATGCGCTTAGCGGCCGCTTTAAGGAGTCTGCCCACTACACCGTCTCATACCTTGACCGTGCTAGGACCGTGTCAGCCAAAAAAATATTCTTCGTATTGAAAAGTATGAGACTTAGACCGTTCCATCACCGACCGGCGCCGTCGAGTGCCGTGCACGGAGCGGTAACAGTTGTCGGCGAGAATATTCTACCGGCGCCGGTACGCTCCGTGCCTGGCACGCGACGTCGCGGGCGCGGTGTGCGCGGGCGGCGCAATGGTGAGCGTACGCAGCACTAAAACCGTTATGTACGGGTATGACACGCTGTTGAAACGATCTAGTGGGCATGCCATGTCCGTCCATGCTCGTTTCCGTGCCTGATACGTTCATAGCACGGTCATGGTATGAGACGGTGTAGTGGGCAGACCTTTACACGCCACCGTACCGTCCGTAGTCAATTATGATTCGCATCGTGTGTAGCGGCCTTTATAATGAGAGCGGCGGCGGATGACAGGTGGGTTGATTATGTAGTTTTTTTTTTATTTATTTTTTTGCTTGTTGGCTGCGGTTGTGGGTTCACACAGTTTTTCAGTGTGAGGAATTGTCTCTTCGTATACGTACGATACTGAATATTGTGCTGAAAGCTTAAAAATATTATGAAATAATAATATTATTTATTATTGTTTTTCTCATCATTCTACAATAATATATTATAGTAGTATAGACAGAATTTAAAATGTTGGAAAATTCACAATATTTTTTCGTAGTACATATTTACTTTTTAGTTGATGATGAAATTGTAAGCATAGAAACAAATGTTAAGCGCTAACTGAACAATGAAAAGACGATAATAAAATGGAAGAGCTTCGCCAGTTAGAATAAATCATTTAAACGAAAAGTTAATCTATTACAAATAAATTAAGACAATAATTAATTACTTTTTACACTCTCAAGACATTAGCAGTGTTGCCATGTTATTCCATTGGTTGTCAGTTTTCTTTTTTTCTTTCTTTTTTCATCACTATTTTTAACTTATTATTTATTCGTAATTTTTTATACATACTTTAATGTAGTTAGTACTTTATTTTATTTAGTAGAATGAATGATGATTTTAATAGAATGACATCATCACCTAAACTGTGTTGCTCTATTTTTATACATACTGTTATTTATCTTACTTAATTTTAATGTCAAAATGATTCTACTGGGTTGCTCCTTTAGTTGGTTATCGTACGTATGCTTAGAGATATATGAAAAATTCAAAAAACCTATTCATTAAATTATGGGTCATTCCTTCAATAATGATTAAAACCACATCCTATTGTAGCGTAGACTTTATCACGGTATATATAATCGTAGTTCAATAAAAATATCGATACTTTAATCGAATCGATATCTAATAAAATCGATTTATTTATTTTATATACGCATTCAATATTATATGTAAGTTAATATTTATTTAACATATGGTGGTAGACTTATTCCATTCGTGTCTTGTGTTTTCTGGTATTTTAGATAAAATCATAAATAGCTTGTTAGGTGCTGTTAAGATTATTACACGAAAATCAGCGCTAAAAATAAGAATTTTTGAATGAACTTCTATAGGCAGGTTTGGATGGGGATTAAATTCATGTAAGTCGTCATCGACATGGTCACGTGACGTGTTAACGCTAACACTCAGAGTGCCGATAGATGTCAAAACCAGATAAATGTAAACAGTTTTAATTTACAAATTTTTAATTAAGATCAAACAATTAATTCGAATATCCAAAAGTAACGACTGTTTGTTTATAGTTTTAAGTTTTCACTTCTGTCGGCAGTCCTCATGACTGCTTTATATATATATATTTTATTAAGTATATAGTAACTGTCTCATTTTTATTATGTATGGATTTTTATGGATGGTTTTCTTGTATGTTTCTATAATAATTTGTAATAAAAAAGTATCTTATTGTAATAAATAATTTTATATTTGAACTATTTTATTTTATGTACATAAATGCTATAAATATAAATGTGCACAGGTTGCCCCCGAGCCTGCGCCTGCGCCTGCCGCAACTCCCGTACACGATGCCTGCAGGTATGTTTTTGTGAACTGGAATATGTTATTTTAATATATTATATTTATCAGTCTACTAGGCCGTGACCCCGGCTCTGCTCACATGTAATAGACACGTTAGTAGAAAGTAGCTTATATATTATTAATCTAGTAAATAAGTTATATTCATTCGGTTTTTTTGATCTGTTGAACCTATAAGTTTCCCCAATAATCCACACTTCCATACTTACGTTATAATTGTGAAAATAATTCTTTCAGTGAATATTTGTTATCTATCAAGAGCCTAAATAGATTTTGATGATATTTTACAAGGTAGTTTGACAGGTATAGTAGGTAGGTTAGACCGTCGTAGATAGACCGTCATTCCCGTCTTGCTTAAAATGTGAGCGACAATGTGAACTGATGGCATAATCAAGAATGTCCAGATATTAGCGTCTTGAAATAAACGATTTTTCAGCCTTTATAATATAACTTATTTAAAATAAGTTGTATTATTTGATGAGTTGAATTGTTATTATATGAGTTTTATTATGTTTATATAAGTCGTATTATTATAATGTGTTGTACGATCCAGCCGGCTGGCGGAGAGCACGCCGGACCTGGTGCTGGACCTGCCGGCGCGCGCGGCCGACGCCGCCGACACCTTCGCGCACAACCGCGACACGCTCAAGAAGCGCGTCGCGCCGCCCGCCGCGCACAGGTATACATGTTGCACGCTGCACATTATCCACTTCCAATTACCCATCGTCTACTGAACATTTTCCAGTCACCACTTACCATTGTCCACTCCCCATACACCATTGTCCACTCCCCAGTGCCCCTTCCCACCCCTCATTTATCACTTCACTCGGCTTCTATATATAACAATAAGTTAGGTTTGCTAAGCAGAGATCTCGATGTGCATTAAAAGCCATAGTTCATGATGATCCAAATTCTGGTTAACAGCTGGTTAGACTCTCTTACTTAAGAGGTGGCATGTCTATGCAGGTTTTGAATGTTTTCCTTCATGGTATTAGAAAGTGGTAATCATATTAAATGTGAGTTTTTACCCTCTCTTCTCTAGTTATAGTTAAATGCTCTCTCTATCATTTATGATGTCATAACTATTAAAGAATGTGTTCAATGATGAAAAAGTGAAATAAAAATCGATACATCTTATATATTGCATGATTGATTGAGTGTATTTCTTGTAAAATAATAATTATCAAAAATTGTGAAACATCTATTTTCAGTTTTAATATTTTGAAAATTGTAAAAAAAACGTGTGTACTGTATGTACGGACGTAAGAAGTTATACTTCTTGGGCGTAACAGAACAAAAATAGCTAAAGATTTCATCCCGTATGTCACAACTCTCTGTTTGCAAACGGAATGCAGCGAATATTTTCACGTAAAAATTTACCCTTATATTTTTTCCCAAACGTGCCAAAAAAAGTATAACTTTAAAACAATCTAGTATTAATAGTTGTAATTAAGCTATAATATTTATGATATGTCGACGTGCAATTGAGAGTTTATGAATGGGAACATTTCGCAGACAAACATGTTCCGAAGGAGAGTCTAAAGCCGAGGCTGAAGCTAGCGCCAGTGCCACCAGCTCGGTGGCGGGCGGCAGCCCCGTGCCCGCGCGCAACACCATGCGCGTGGCCGCCAAGTTCGCAGAGTTGACGTTGACGGGAGGTTCGCTCAAGCCCGCGCTGGCCGCCAAGCCCGCGCTGCTGCGGCGCCCCACGCCGCACCCGCGCGCGCCCGCGCCGCCCGTCGTGCCGCCCCCGGCCTCTGCGCCCGCCCCCGCCCCCGACCCGGAGCCCTAGCAAGCCTGCCAGAGACGACTGCTGCCAGTACAGCCAACTTATTTTATACCGCTTGGTCACTCAAATTTTATTATACAAATAAACAAAACTGTTTGTTGAGAAATAGTCTGTGACGAATAAAAAAATTCAATAAAATTAAGTCATTACCTTAAAATGAAATATATACATAAAATAACCATATTTTACAATTTACGTATCCAATTATACGATCTGGCAGCCCTGCGCCCCAGTCACAGCTGACGCAACGTCCACGTGAATAGTACATGGTCGAGTTACACGTATGGATGGGAGGTTGTATACGCTCAGATGGCGCCACTTGTATATGATGTTCTGTCAGAAAAAATTGAATTCTATCTAATAATAATCTTTAGAAATTTCATTGGTAAGTGACATTGACAGAATACTAATTGTATGTCTCACATATTGAAAAGTTTAATTTTCACTCTCCATTTCCAATTTTAGTTTCCATTCAGTGAGACATTGACGAGCAATAAACAAGCTAATTCGTTTAATTTTCCATATATTATATGCTTGTGGCGAAACCATCGATTAATAGCCGCAGTGAGTTCTCCCATTGATTAAGGCGTGCCTAATATAGTGCGTGTGCACTCTGCTCGATCGCAGCTTTAGAGCTGCGCTGTTAGACGTAAGTGTATGTAACCGCGACGAGCCTACGCCGAATACAATTCTTTACGTGATATTTAAGGCTCGTTTACACGGAAAGAGCATCTCAAAACCCTCAAGGAAAGGAGACATGTTGGGTAATGTCAACTGTATCGTGCATTGCTCAATTTTTTTATACTTATTCCATGATATCTTCGTAGCGAGAAACTCTTCGTGTAAGTATGCCTTTATACATATAAGGTTGGCTGCACATACACGGTTTTCTGATTGGATTTTGAATGCACTCATTTTATATAAATTATTCTACATGGTGTATACAGTCTTACATTTACCATTAGGAAATAATTTCTGCTTTTTGTGAAACATTTCACAAAGTATTTCGCATATGGAAATCGAATCACAAAATTGTGTATACATATATCGTCAACATTATATACAAAGAACATCTCGCATTAATATACATTGAGAGGGAGCGTATTCGGCGTCGGTGATCAATTTTTATACAATGATGTAATAATGAGTACTTTATTATCTGTATTTATAGTGAGCATAATATTATTTTTGTACGCGACGCACACGCGGCGCCCGCGCGCGCCTCACGCCTACAATAAACAGTATTATCTAACGTTTGGTTTATTTTATTTTTTTCTCCTTTTTTTATATGTGCACATATACATGCCACATATTAAATTGATTGCTATTGGTATTGCGAAGGTTTATATGTGAGGGTGTGTGTGTACATATACTTATATTATTATCCTGTACTCTGAAACGACTGGACAGATTTGGTTGTTTAGATAGATATTCCAGATAGATTATGGTATGGAATAACATAATATGCTGGGTACTGTTAGACACTCGAGCGAAGTGATGATAAGTCACTATTACTATTATATTACTTTATACCGTTATTAGTACTTATTATGAGGGTGCTTTGGATCATTGTAATTATATAATATTTGAATGAACATTGCAATTATACAATTTAAACAAATTTTCTGACTCAAAAATAGAATATCGAGGACGAGATTAGCAGAGTACATAACAAAAAGGATTCTTGAATACATTAATTTGAAAAGGGCAAAAAATAAAAACCATTTTTCTTCGTTTAATTCAGATGTTTGACATATGATAAAGAGGTCATTATTAGGAATTATACTCAGCAAGGTTTAAAATCTTAAATATATCTAAGTAGAAAGCTGAGAGACCTATATATTCTGTGCCTTAGAAAAGAAAACTTAAGTAAAATGTTGAGAGAGATATTTGTCTTTACAATACATAAAATAAACAACTTGCATAAGGCTGTAAGGTTTATTTCTAAGCGCACGCACAAAATTGCTATAATAATGTTAAAATGACTGAGCTTACTACTCGGAAACTAAACTTATAAATAACTCTTTAAGGTTTAGTATATATTTCTCAGAGATGAGATATTTTCCCGCAGTAAAAATTATCCTATATGTTGACCCGGATAACCAGCTATCATCATACCAAATTTCATCAAAATCTGTCCAGTTTTCTCGTGATGCGGTCATAGACAGACAGGCAAAATTTCTAAAAACTATAGATTCGGCCTGTGTATCGATAATAATGACTATTTCAATTAGATTTTCCAAAAAAAAACTATTTAATGTACAGATTCGACTCATTGTCAGTAAAAAAATTATTATATGTGAAATTTTATTACTAGCATTGTCCACGGCTCCGGCCGCATTCAAATGACCACAAAAAACAAATTCTTAGGTTTTACATATTAGTATACTCTTACATTGCAGTTTTGTATTTTTTCTCAAAAATGAGATATTTCCCGCGTAAAAAAATATCCTATATGTTGACCCGGATAACCAGCTATCACCATACTAAATTTCATCAAAATACCTCTAGTGATTTTTCTGTGATGCGGTAACAGACGGACAGACAAAAATTCTAAAAACTAGATTCGGCCTCTGTATCGATAATAGTATCTATTTCAAAAAGATTTTCTAAAAACTATTTAATGTACAGATTCGGCTTTGTTACTATTTTATTATATGTATAGATAAGTCACGAGATTATTCGCAAGATTATATTAACAGTTGATTTTTAACTTTTGACTAAATAATACATATGATGATTGTTTTTTATCAAATGACTTATACCTGTCTAGGTAAAGTTAATTATTTTACAATAATTCAAGCGAGAGACAAATAATGGCTTCTTTAAATATTTTTTTTATACTTTACAATATTATAGTGATGGTTGATAATTAATTAATGAGCCCTTCGTTAATAAGTTATTACTACGATTCATAGATGGCGCTGTATGCACTCTCCGAGCTGTTGATACTTTATCCAGGGTTCAAATGGTCATGATCAACCGATTTATATTTGTATATATATGTACATACAGATAAATAAAATTGAAGTGTCTGTTTGTAATGTCAAAATAACAACTTTTTACTAAATGCATAGGAAATTATACACGGTACACAATTTTTAAAATGTTTGTCTGTCGGTTTGTTCCGGCTAATCTTTGAAACGGCGGGACCGGTTTTGATGGCACTTTCACTGGCAGATAGCTGATTATAAGGAGAAACTTAGGTAACTGATATTTTAAAAAAGAATTAGGTTTCCGCTCAAAAAAATTAAAATGTACCTAGGGACGCACCCGACCGAAGCGAAAGTAAATTCCTAGCATTATTTTAAATAAAACTCCCTTTTCGGATTTTTTTTCGCGGATTTATTTTGATTTTTGGTTCCCGACGTTTCGAATGTTTTACAGCAATCACGGTCACGGGAGATTCAGTAGTTTTATTGCACACATTTTTGTATAATTAAATAGTTATATTAATTCGCCCGCTTCAGGGCATGCGTCATCCTATCGTTTATTCAAGTTTAGCAGAACTGCAGAACATCACAAAATAGCGCGGTAAAATTATTTTGTACATATATGTATAATGTGCTAGTATCGTATCGTGTGTAGGTCGTCTGTGATCAACTGCTACTACTTTTTGGGATGTACCTTCGAGTACTTTTATTATTATTTTCACTTATTTCCTACGTAACGCTGTTGCTGTAGCTTGCTTTCTAAAATATTTCATTTCATTCACTACAAAAAAGAAGGGGGTAAAATAAATCGTCATTATCTTACAGTAGAAGGTTTATTTGTTAACAGTGGAGAAAAAACAATGAAAGAGCATGACGTGTCTAATAGCGAAGGCAGTGATCGTGATGCAGAGCGTGATGAAGGGGCGCGGGCGCGGCGTTTTCTTTGTCGCGGGTGTAGTGGGGGGTGGCGCCGAACTCTGCGGGTAGTGGGGGTGGTTCGTATTCGTCGCCAGAACCATCTGAGGCTTCTAAGTAGCCAAAGAGACGCGCCGCGCCCGCAGCCCGGCTTTCTCGTCGACGCACGCCCGCGGCGCTTGTGCCGGTATTGCTCACCACACTAGTACCTGCACTGCTACTTGTGCCACTCACCGGCTGCCCGCCGGACGCGACGGATCCCTGCGCCTGTACTGCACTAGTTGTCGACTGCGGCGCCGCAGCAAACCCGCCCCGGCCCACTCCCGAAGGCACTTTCAAATTGCGGCTCTCGATGTGGCTGTAATCAATATTTATTGTAGAACTTGGAAGAAAATATATTTTATTTATAGTACTTTGGTGCTATATCTGTTATGGATCTGTTCCCGCTATCAGCATCTTTGTAAGTTGTAATTCTGTTCATGAGTACCAAGTACAAGTTGGTTATAATTCTAAGTGGTACTCATATTATACCTGGGTCGTATGGCATCCTTTAAAAAGACTTAAAAGAGCTGAAAATGACCGTACCTACAGTAGATACTAAACCATTAAATACCTCCTCGTTTCATAACGATGTCGTTCTGACAAACATTCAAGAACTGATTAAAATTATTCACAAATGCTAGCTACATTATTAGTAGATATTAACGATATTTTAAAAGTTATGTGTTCATGATATTCTCTTAGCAACTCACTGGGCATCTCGTAAGTGCAGTGCCAACTGTTGCTGGTCATCGGCCAGGTAGGGGCACTTAGCGCAGGCTTTCTTGTTGTGCACCTTGTGCACGTGTGTGGCGAGTCGCTCCGCGCGCGCCGCCTTGTACTCGCACAGGGCACACGCGAAAGGCTTCAAATGTGTATTGAGATGGCGCTTCAGGCACCAGTTGTCCACACCAGACCACGTACAGTAGCAACAGGCGTAGCGTCGTTCTCCCTGTGTATATGTCATATAAACCTTTATTATTAAAGTTTCCGGTATTTATGTACATTAACAACAGTGTAACGTAACATGTAATGTAGCAGCAATCAAATGTCGTAAACGTTGTAATTAGACTTATAGGTAATTAATTAGTTTTATACTCACTTTACGGCGAACAGGACTTGATGCACTGGGCTTATGAGTTGCTGCGGAAGGCGTGTCAGTTTTCCCAAGTGGCGCACGCTCTAGCTTGACGGGGGCCGTGCGGCAATCGACCGAGGGAGCCGGCGTCAGCGTGGGCATTGTGGTCTCGGCCGCCTTGCTCGCACTCGCCACCGCGCCGCCGCCTCCGGTCTGGTTACCGCAATACAGCGACGAACTACCCCCATTAGTTGCATTTTTGCCACTCGAACGCCGTATGCGGTTAAGATCATACGGCTGATCCCGATGCATACGCAGAAAGTGTTTCTTCACATGATCCGCACGATTGAATTGTTTCTGGCAAAGATAACAATGAAATGGTTTCTCATCGCGGTGGATATTCTCGTGCCGCGTGAACAAGTCGCGGCGGTCGGTCGCGTAGGGACAGGCGCCACACGCGTATCTCTTGCCACCCTCGCCGCCGCTCTCGGGCTGAGGTGCGCTCGTCTCCCCTACCACTGTACTCGCCACGGCGCTAGCGCTCGCACGTCTCTCTGTGCGCGCTGCCTCTACCTAAACAAATTTAAATTCACTATAAAATTACTTATCTTATTTTAGTCCAAAAATGAATGTTACTTATATATCTAATACTTACTTTATTCTTCAATCGTTGAAGATAACGTGTGAGATCATCAAGCGCAGGGTTGTCGCGTAGCAGATGATCGGCGGCAGCGGGGTCAGAGTGGTGATCTCGCGCGAGATGCTGTCTCACAGCGCGCGCCCACCCACTCGCAAAGCCGCATCCTGCCAGCGGGCACTGGAAGGCCCGAGCCTGAGAGTGCGTCCCCAACCAGTGCTCGGCTACTCGCGCTAGGAACCCTACACACTCGCAGTCAGTGCACTTGAACAGTCGTTGCGCGGGGTTGTACGCCGCCACACGCGAGTGCGCCCACGCCAGCGGCTCCTCTGCCGCCGTCCACCTGTCCTCCGCCGTTGGGTCCGTCCGGGGTGTGAAATTTGCCTAATTTGAAGTAGACAATACAGAAATAGATATATTTTTCTTGTATTATATAATTTATATTTGGATTTTTAGTTTTAATAATATTAGAATATCTAATTAAATTATTTGTAAAATATGATTTTTTTTACATTTTCAAAGGAAAAAATATATAAATTGTAAATGATGTATAATGACATTTTTATTTATTTCGTCAGTTAAATAAATATTTACATTAGGTATTATTATTATTCTTTTACGGAAATCATATTAACTTATCCAACGTTGCAACATAGAATAGGTAATTAGAGTTCAAAACATTGGTTAAAGATCGACATAACGATGTAATAGAACCCTAATTTTAATGAAAAAGTTAAATCATAAACTCGTTCACGAGGATTTAATTAAATTTTGAATTTAATTTTAATCATTTTATCACAAAACATTTAACTTATTTTTAACAACCTATTAAAAGGCTATATATTAAAAAGGAAGTCCAATAAGATTCAGTATAAACTTTATAAGTGACAATGTTTATAAAACCTGTAAAATCCCCGGTGGTGGAAATCCATTCTGCATGAGGGCGGCGAGACCCCACGCAGTAATGTGTTCCTCGGGGCGCAGCTCATCCTCTTGCAGGTCGCGCTCGGCCGCGGGGAACTCGACGCCCACCACGCCGCCCACGCCCACTCCCACTCCCACGCCAACTGTCGCCTCCTCGCCGTATAGTTTTTTTGTTATCTCTTTAAACATATCCTCACAGTCCATCGTGAGGGATGCTACGCTACCCACGCCCGCGCCTCCCTCCATGGTCGATAATTATTTTATAGAGCTCTGTAAATTTAATTAGGTACTGATATAATGCGACTATATTAAATAGTAACATCATCAATATAAAAATAGGCAAGACAATATTTTTTTAATATTAATTCTAACGTCATAAAAATGAAATTTATCGCGAACGGATGGGGTGGAATAATTTTACTTATATATTTTTATTTTTAAGAAATGGTACAAATCGATACTCTCATTCACGACATTGAATATCGATCTACCGCCGCGCTACTTAAAGCCGATTCCGTCTAAAGAAAATTAGACAAGTGTCTCTCCTTCTCTGCGAATGTTTATATTAAATACGTAGACGTTATAGGAGGGAATATTATAGTAATATTCGGGTGAGATATGATCGCTAGTGGGTATAGACGAGAGCGATCTCCACCCACCCCCCGCGGGTGCACCGGGCCGTGGGGCTGCAGGCGCTCGTGCACTGCTGGGCCGGGAGGAGGCGTACCTGCGGCTCGCTCGGTGCTGCGGGCCCGTGGCGCTGCCGGCCCGGCCGCGGGTGCTCGCCTACTAGCGCCCGCCGCCACCGCGCGGGGCGGCGATCGATGTGGGGGTCGCCTCCGCCCGCCCCGCCCCGCGCTGCCCGCCCTGCGCCCTGCGTCCGGCTACGCGCTGATCGATACGCGCGCTCACGCCGCGCGGCTGCGGCCGACCTCGCCGATACAATCGATCTCGAGTCACCCCGCGACCCAGTGTGGACTTCCCGCGTTCAATGTGGACGCGGGCCAAGCTACGGGCTACGGCTCTACGCCGAGTTAACTTTTTAATTCTTGCGCGGTGCACGCAGCGATGTCGGTCTGACGGAGTCTAACATATTTCGTTATGATACTTACAACGGTAATATTTTTACTACATTTACAAAAACAGATTAGTAATACAATTATGTTTGTCTCTACATTTATCATAAGATATATTTTACGTAAATATTTATTTACATTTTAAAGATAATATTTATAATTGAATGTTTGGTCAATGAAATTATTTTGGCAAGAACTAATAAATCTCGACCTATCTACAAACACAGAAATCATTTATTTGAATTAAATCCAGGCGATTTCCGATTACCACTTAAGTAACCCGGTAAACATAACACATACTAACAAAATAATCTGTTGCTACAGGTTAGTAACAACTGCTACAATTATCGTAGCAAAACTCGGAACTTCCTACTTTTATACTCGTCCGTAAAGTTTAATGTCATGACATTAATTCTACATGAATGAGCTTACATCGTAGAGGTCACGTATTCAGTTTCCGGACAGAAAAATATTTGTATTGAGAATTGACCAGTCTTTGTTGGAACAAAGTGCAGCTTTGGACTTTGTCTAGACATGAACGGTGCGCGAGAAGTGAATGAGAAATCACAATGTTCTTTGTCTACGCCGCGTGGGAAATTACGTAAAAGCTTTAATTGTATAAGCCTTATATGAATATTTCATAACTTTGAATCCACTCGCAACCTACTACGCTGGTATTTTGTCCCAGTGAACCTGAAGTTGTATGTGTCACATCAGCTCTTAAACAGTCTTACAATGAAACAAAGGATTTATCCAACTAGATAATGTATTGAACTATAACACTTTAATTTTTATAAATATTTATCAATGTTAAAAATATTATACCGAGGGAAACATATTTTTAAAATTCGCTGTTTAATCGTAAAAGGACATTTTGAAAAAAAATATTAACATATAAATATCCTGTAACGCTCTTACTATACACCTATTATACTTATTGAGAAAGAAAAATATTAAATTATTTCTTTATAAAATAATGATAGGCAAATGATTCATTCAGTTGGGTCACATCGCGTCACAGCGTATAAGGTTTTTACAATATGAATAATTATAATATATTTTAAAACCGAATAAGTAAGACGTAAGACCGAATGAGTAAGATGTGCTCTACACTCTACCTCTGTTTCCAAAGACGCTCACAGCGTACAGCGTCACCCACATCACGTAGGCGTTGCGTTACTTCGTAAGATGACTCATAGCTAAAACGTGTCGGTGGAAGGGATAGCGGTCAAGGGTAATGAAAACGTGAAGGAATATTATTTTATTGATTTTAACATATATAAATATGTGTTTCTCTGTAAACTGGTCAACTTTCGTAACAAAAGTGTCTTGTTGTCTACTTAATAATAAAAAGCAGAAGAATTAAAACGATTTCACTATTACAGAAGGACAAACTTATATTAATATGGATATTAATATGAAAGTTTTTGAAATGATGAAAACAAATTGAAGTTGTTTCATTAGTTTATAAACCATGTGTGATGTGTCACATACCTAATAAAACACCAATAAATAGACAGATAGACAATTAATATGATGAAGTATAGGGGCTTCAAACTTTTGAAATCCATCATTTTTTAGGATAGCATTTAATTATATTCGCTAAAATATAATATCTATTATCTATACATATAATAAAATTCTAAGCCGAATCTGTACATTAAATATTTTTTGGAAAATCTTATTAAAATAGATATTGTTTTCGATACAGAGGCCGAATCTATAGTTTTTAGAATTTTTGCCTGTCTGTCTGTTACCGCATCACGGAAAAACCGCTGGAGGGATTTTGATGAAATTTGGTATGATGGTAGCTGGTTATCCGAGTCAACATATAGGATACTTATTACTGCGAGAAAATATCTCATTTCTGAGAAAAAATAGTATACTAGTATACTAATATGTAAAACTTAAGAATTTGGTTTTTGGTCATCTGAAAAATAAATAATTTCCAGAAAATTTTATTAACGGTTCTACATTTTAAATTTAAAGTAAAATTGTTAAATGCATTAAACCTGTTTAAGCTACGCTCGGGTGGAAATCGCAGGTGAGTTTTCTTTTAAAACGTAGCAACTAGAGAGCTCTACACTGCCACATTAATAGCTACGAAGCTAACTTTAAAACAAAAGTTAGTTAAATATTTTTTTTATAAAAATTATTAATCATATCAACAATTCGCATACAAATTTATTATTTGTATATATTTAAATTAATGTAACAAATTCAAAATGTTAGCAAAATAAAAATAAGTAAATTTTAAATTTTGGTCAAACATTTTATTTTTAAAATCAATTATGATATATAATAATACTAAATCTTTATTTAGATGTAAGCAGTGCTTTCATTTCGTTTTGTTCCCTTGCAAGTTGCACGTGAAAAGTGATAGGGCAACAGGCGGTTAGTGGGACGGTTACTCTTTTGTACGCTAGAGCACAAAGGAAAATAAATGACAACGATTTTATTTAAGGTTTTAAGATTTTCATTATTTAATGCTCATAATATAAAACTATAAGTTAAAAAAAAAATATGACATGTTAAGATTATAGGTAAAAGATTTATTAATTAAATTAATTATCGCTGGTCCAATATTAAAAGCTTTTGGACATATTTTATACGATACTAGCATTGGCCAAGGCTCCGCCCGCGTTCAGACGACCAAAAACCAAATTCTTAGGTTTCACATATTACTATACTCTTACATTGCAAGTTTTTATATTTTTCACAGAAATGACACATTTTCCTGCGGTAAAAAATCTAAAAAATCCTATATGTTGACCCGGATAACCAGCTATCACCATACCAAATTTCATCAAAATCCCTCCAGTGGTTTTTCCGTGATGCGGTAACAGACAGACAGACAAAATTTCTAAAAACTACTGATTCGGCCTTTGTATCGATAATAATGTATATTTCAATAAGATTTTCCAAAAAATAATTAATGTACAGATTCGACTCAGTTAGAATTTTATTATATGTATAGATTATCAAAAATGTTGATAGTAGTAGAAATCAAACCATGAAAATAATTATGTATTTGCATTTCATTGATATTAGTGATTATGTTTACTTAAATAGCAGTATAACTTCATTGCTATACAAAATCTCAAGATATAAAGTAGCGTCTCAAAAGAAGTGTACTATTCGAAATTGATTTGCGCTTTTTTCAAATCTCTTTTGTTTATTGTTTTTCAGATGACAAAATTTAAATGCACGTTGTATCGTTTAAAAAAGCACTTTTTGTGGTGTGCGTAACTTCGAATTTATGTTTAGATTATTAGAACTTCAATTTTATTTTATTCTTTGGTTTGACTTATATATTTGTTAAGAAAAGTGTATCTATCCATACTAATACTATAAATATGAAAGTGTGTTTGTTTATCTTTCTTTCACGTCGAAACTTGGAGGCTCGGCGGATTGGCGTGTTTTTTTGTGTAGAGATAGTTGAAAGGCTGGAGAGTGACATAGGCTACTTTTTACCGCGGAAGATTATCTAATTCCCACAGGAAAACATGTTATAATACAATTCAAAAATATATTTATGATCAAAATTACTTGAAACTTGGTATAAATACTCATCAATGCAATTAATTAAATAAGGGTTTTAGCATTTTTGAAATTCATCCCATAAGTGGGTAAAATAGCGGATGAAAGATTTTGCTAGTGTTTTTATATATCAATGTATACCTTGTAGGATTTGGTAGTATAACTTATCTATAGCATCGACTCTACCTATGTGGAAATTGATTCTGATTCATACAAACTGAATTCCTGTAGAGTCAAAATGAATTGTTACTATATGAACACATGAATCCATTGTGTACATTCAATAACACAGGAGCGGGAGAAAGATGTATGTTAGATATATTGATGTCATAAAATTTAGATACATATCTTATAAAAGACTATGATATTGCGTCGCTTAGGTATAATTATTGGATTTTAGTAATAATCAGAGCTATTTGATGTAAAGCAACAAAAAGGATATATAGAGTTTTAAGTAAAGGCTAATATATAATGTTTTAAAACTATTGGAAAATATAAGGAAAACAAAAACAAACCTATCCCACGGGAACTGTACATTTTTATAGGATTAAAAGTAGTCTATGTATTATTCTAGACTCTAATCTATCTCTCTGCCAAATTTCATCCATATTCATTCAGCCGTTCTGGCGTAAAAGAGTAAAAAACTTACAATCTTTCACATTTATAATATTAATACGGATAAAGATATCTTTAATCCAATGGTCTTAGTAAACTATTGATAGGATTTTTTACTAAGTGCCTAAATGAAGAAGAAAAATAAAAGATTTTCTTTGCATAGCCAACATTCATTTCGATGCTTGCCCTTTTGAGAAAGACGCCTCACGACCGTTTAACTCTATAAGGCACATTTTCTGGAAATGTAGCGTTCATATTATTTCCACCCCTGCATGCAAGATGGCGACCGGTAGAAAGGACAAAAGCCGAAAACTTATAATTTTATTGATTACAATCAATGGAAATAATCAATTATTATAAACCTATTTTCACTATAAACTAATGTTTAATAATTCTATTAGCGTACCTATCTTCCAACCAAAGTAATTTAACCATTATAACTAATTTGTAATATATGCAGGGAGTTATCATGAACAAGGTATTTTGAATTGTAAACAATACATATTTATCTCTCTACGTCAATTTACCACCATGTTCCTGCTACACTCCTAGTTCATAGTGAAATTCCTCGCTACACACTTTCAAATAAGAAAGAATCACGTAAATCTGACCAGACATCACTGGCTAATCTCTCTACATACCTCTTTTTTAAAGTCGGTTAAAAAGTAAATCTAGCTAATGATATAATAATATTAGAACATTTCATATTCGAAATAAAGAATTCTATATAGAAAATTAAAAGAGTAAAATGAAAATGTAACCATTAAACGCCAATATGTAGGTACCTACTCAATACTTATACGCCTACGAACACGCAAGCGTTTCTTGTATATGAATGAAAATGAACTATGACGCACTAGTGCAAAAATCAATATGTATGAAGCAGATAGCGATAGGCGGTTAGGTTAGCGCCGACAACGTAACGGTTCATCGACCGAAGCGCTACGCACCCGGAACGCTGAGCTCCTTGCTTGGGACGCGTCCGGCGTTAGTCGGGCGGCTCCGACGCGCTATCTGGGTCGCCGCCGCGCCCGCACTGGCGGCGCGCGCAGCGGGCGCGGGCGGGCGGCGGGAGGCGGGGGCGGCGTACCGCAGCGCTCAGTCGCGCCCCGGCCGCGGCCCGTCCCCGTGCAGCCCTAGCCTCGCCCGCCGCCGGCCGCGCGCCCGCCCATGCCGCGCCCGCGCCGCCGCTAGCGCGGCATGGCCGGCGAGCCGCCCGCCGCCGCCCAGCCGCGGGCAGGTGAGCGCAGCTCGTCTCGCACCTGCTTCGGAGTTCGGAATGACGATCCACACCCCGTTCCTATCCTTTTGTAAACCTTCGCAGCTAATCGGTTGGCAGACGGAAATATAGCTTCGTTCGCGACCTTGTTCTACCCCGATCGAAGTTTCCAGTTTACATGTTCTTCGATTATTCCACACTTGTGTAATTTTCGCGATCGCACCGGGTCGCGGGATCTACTCGTCCCGGTAGTCCGCGACGCCGCAGGAGCGAGCCGCGCCCGTATCGACCGTCGGAGTCGACTCAGTGGCGCCCGCCGCGTCGTCGCCTCGTCGTTCAGCGCGGCTCAAGCGTCCACATTGTGATCCCGTGACTCGTCATCCTCGCGAAGGTGGCAGCGCCTGGCGCCCTGCTGCAGACGAGACCGCGGGCGAGGCCGCGCGGTGCGCTTGTTTACACAACGGCCGCGCGGCGACCGATATAGCGGCCGCAGTAAACAGCACGCGGCGCTGAGCGCCTCAATGAGCGTGCTATTTATACGCGTGCGACCCTCACCCACTACCCTCTAAACTCTGTTTATTTTCGCATCCGTCGCCAACCGTTGCGTCTCTTCCGCACTATTCGCTTGGTGTTGTCGTCCTCCAGGCGGGCGCGCCCAACTCATCCTTGTGACGTTACTTCTAACATTAATCATAAATCCTCGACGACTCCACCTTCGTCTAAAATGCGCTGCCTCATATTATAATTCATTAATCGATTGTTTTCCATTCCAAATAAATAAGTATTGATATTTTAAGTTTATTTCCCGGTTGATTTTCAGCATTACGAGAAATGCGTACATATTGAAAATGACGATGATCATAGATAGGGACATCATATTTTAAGCTCATTCTGAGAGCTCGAATGTCCGAAATCCTAAGGCGTGCTACGTGGGGTTGTCGAAGGCCTTTGATATGTTTATACGATGTCAAAAAAAATATTGTGAAATTACCCATTTGTGATTCAGGTGAATTTTACCAGATAAAGTCCTTATGCGAAGCGTGTTGCGAGCCTACGTACAAAATACCAAAGATTCGATAGTGAATTAAAGTAAAAGTAAAGGATTTTATAAAGATTACGCACATAGTTATAGTTTTAACTTTAAGATTGTATTTATTTAAAGTAGTGCACGTTGAGTGATGAGTGTCGTGACATGAAGCTCCTGGACTTGGCCTAGAGGAGCAGCTCGCCTTTCTGTAGTGTAGTTGTAGGTAGGTGACTGATTTTGTACAATCACTCTTACTACTACCTACTTGTATCGCCCGAACCCTTGCCTCTATCGTAGTATGAATATGTTTTATGTTTTCCGTACATTTACGATGAGTTCTAGCAATGTCTGTACTTTCTATGGCAACAATGTTCCTAAACATTATTTTGTAACGAGCTACATTAACTAATTTGAATAAAACAAACTTTAATAATAAATAAATACACAAAAAAATTTACTATCTCTGTAGCAATATAGAGCTAACTTACACTTTAACTGGAAACTCTACACTGTAATTAACTAATCAGTTTTAATTTTGGCGAAAATCACGGCTTGGGTAATATCCATTATATTTCAGTTAAATCTATAATGTTATGTTGATATATGATATTGTTTATATTCTTTTCTTAGTATTTTCCTATCATATTAGTGTTTCTTTTTTTCATTCATATTACCTAAGTAGTTAATATTACTTAGTTTTTAAAATAAGATATTTAAGTAATTTAAACAAAAAATATTAAATATAAATCTGCCAAATAATAATTTTAGCCCTGGTGTATTTAGTGTGACGCGCTATATGTGACAGACGACATGGGTTCAATCCCCGCTCAATCTGTTTATTTATATGACAACCACATGTTTTTTTCTTAATGAGCTCAAGGTGAAAATGTGACATTGGAAAACATCAACAAAATTACTATAAATATATTATATTTACCCTCACTTTCATCGTATCCCTAGGTGAATAATAGTAACCTACGTGTTACTCCTGATCTATCTGTGAACTCCATCCAAATCCGTCCACCTGTTTCAGCGTGATAGAGTCACTTTTACATATAATTTGACGACACGTTTGGCTCAGTTTGTAGCGACCCTATTTGCTGTGCCAGCGGTCTCGGGTTCGAGTCCCGATGGGGCCGTTCATTTGTGAGATGAGCACGAATGTTTCTACTCCAGTAATGGGTGTTTATTTACATTACAATACGAGTATGTTTCATTATGATACAAAAAGAAAACAATGAATATAAAACTACACTTTCATATGATTGTACTAGCAAGTATAAGATGCCTAACAGTAGCATATGTGTTATTCCAGGTCGTAGTCTTTTTATTAGTAATCTAAACCCTAACCCTGTAGTATTTAGATACAATACACCTTATATTGTATGAAATTCCAGATGTGCAGCCTGGCAGCGTTGGCGCGCGGCTGCCGGCCCGCCGCCAAGCCGTGCTGCCTCTGCTGGTGTTGCTGTTGCTCCTGCTCCTGGTCAGTACTTATACAAAAATACTATCAAAACCGTATTCTTAAGGTTATTTGAAAAGAAAGTCTTATTATTGTCAATAAATAAACAATTATATCTAGAAAAATCGAGTCTCTTTATATATCTAAAAACATACCTACAAAAATTAAATAATTTATACCGGTTTAATATTTAAAAATGCTTAGTTTTTGACATTTGGAATATTCATCTTTGCAGGGCCAAGTGGTAAGTGGTTACAAGGCTGAGCAGCTAGAGGCTTGCGCGGTGACTTCTCTTCAGGATGTTTATGGAAAATCGAAAATAACGTCTTTACATCCTTTTATTTCAAATCAGATTACTTTGCTGACTGCTACAGTAATATTATTTTTTTTTTATTTAACCGATTAAACATTTTAATAAAAATATTTTTAAATATATATTATATAGAAAGAAATAAAAGAAAAATCATATTTACAAATATATTTAAATAGCAAATACCTGTCGATTTGTTGCCTTCCAATTTTGTAAATAAATTTTAATTGTAGCTTAACATTAAGTTATTTAGTAAATAAATAAAAAAAAAATCGGTGAAGTGCCGGTAGACGCATTTACACAGTATACATAATTGTGTGATACTGGATGTGATAGACCTCGTTAGTTAAAAGTTTAAACTTTTACTTTTTAGTGCGAATCCGCCTCACATTTTTCCAGTTTTTTATTCCTATAGGCTTAGCGCTATAGTTGCACCGAGTTTGACGCTTGTATACCTATTTAAGACGCAGATTTTACGATAGGTAGAGCAAAAATAGAGATTTCTTAAATTCTTACTTTGTACGATTGTTATTATTTTATATGTAGATAGGTTATCCGCACCCATCATCCCAAGACATATATTGTATGAAAATATCATACGGTTATCTATTACAGTTCAACATTCAACAAATAGCTCTTTCAAAGTAAAAAAGGAACTTTTATGAATGGATAGATGACAGACCTTTAGGTGTACAAAAAGTACCAAAAAGTGTATAATAAAGTGAAAATTAATTAAGTAATAAATATTAATAAAATAAAGACTCTTTTTGAGATGTAAATGAAGTATTGAGAGACAAGGCGGTCGTGTATGTACAGGCTGGCGGCGCGCAGCTCGGAGGGCGGTCCCGGTAAGAAGCCACGTGAGCCTGGACCGCACGAGCCGTTGCTACTTGACGGAGATGCACCGTAAGAATCCCTTTCTTCTACGCTAAAAAAATGAAATAGACGTAAATGGTATTCTATTTCTATACTAAGACTACGATATTCGAGGAAAAACTCACATTGGCAAAGACTGAGTTTAGCTTCATTGTTCCTGTTTTATGCGATCTATTTTTTTTTTAGTCGAACATATTAAACTAGCGACTCACCCTCGCTTCGCTCGGGTTCGTCCCTAGGTACGTTTGAACGGTTAGTGTGAAATACAAATCTTTGAATTTCTCGTCTTTTCTGTACTATAATATGCATGTATTACATATAAACCTTTCTCTTGAATCACTCTATCTATTGCTGAAAACTGCATTAAAATCCGTTAAATAGTTTAAAAGATCTAAGCGAACAGACAGCGAAAGCGACTTCATTTTATAATATGTAAGGTATGAATATTATCATAAAATATTATAAACACTCAATGTTAACATTTTATGTTTTTGTACAGGCCTACGTTGGAGGAGATTCAGAGCTGGGGCCAATCTTTCGATCGCCTCATGCGCAGCGCAGGTAGTTATTCTATATAGTGTAGGTACATTACCATATTATTTATTTATTTTCTTATAATAAAAAAATATAAAAAAATTAAACATCTTATTATAAAACTAGTTGTAGAGTCAGTAAACAGATTTAGGTCTTGCATGTTACAGTCAGTGAGCACATTATACGTATATACTCACATCTCTCATTTGTATTAAATTAAAATTTGTGAAGTTTCTGACAGTGTATTTAATTTCTTCATATAATTATATAATATAACTAGCATTGCCCGCGGCTCCGCCCGCGTTCAGATGACCAGAAACCAAATTCTTAGGTTTTACATTTTAGTATACTCTTACAATGCAGTTTTTGTATTTTTTCATAGAAATGAGATATTTTCCCGCGGTAAAAAGTATCCTATATGTTGACCCGGATAACCAGCTACCACCATACTAAATTTCATCAAAATCCCTCCGGTGGGTTTTCTGTGATGCGGTAACAGACAGACAGACAGACAAAAATTCTAAAAACCATAGATTCGGCCAATGTATCGATAATAATGTTTATTTCAATAAGATTTTCCAAAAAAAATGTAATGTACGGATTTGGCTTAGTTACAATTTTATTATATGTATAGATGTAACATTTCGTAGGGAAATTCACCAAATGTAAATTAAGAAACGTTCATAATAACTGATATATTGTTCAAGATAATATAGAGCAAGACATACATACATGGTAATTATTTGTTTGTATAGCGGGACGTAAAGTATTCCGAGATTTTCTTCGCGGCGAGTATTCCGAAGAGAACATAATGTTTTGGCTCGCGTGCGAAGAGCTCAAACGAGAAACAAATCCAGAAGCTGTCGAGGAAAAGGCACGCTTTATCTACGAGGATTACATCTCCATACTTTCACCTAAAGAGGTAAAAATTAACTACTATTTCTCCTTTATTTAAATATTTTTAGTTTTACTATTACAATTTATCACCCATCGTCATATCATATCGATCCTTTTTCAAATAATTTTACAGGAATAGCTGAATATAAAATAACAAAACAAACTTAAAGTACGGTAGAGCCATTCTTAATTTTGTACAGAAAAAATAGTACCTATTATTAACACGTCTATTTCAATGTTTTAATATTACTTTTACAAATAGAACTAACAACTTATCGTCGTTTCGTTTGAGTACGCCTTTAGTTACCTAACAATGCATATAAATGTTACCACAGAGCATAGACTATATTATGTGTATTGAATTTTATCCAAATTCGTCCAGCAACAAACACACAGATACTTTTGTATTTATAATATGTAGTAGTCTGACTTAAAGATGCTAAGAGTAAAGTCGATTTGCTGCAGGTGTCACTAGACTCCCGCGTGCGCGAGACGGTGAACCGCAACATGGTGGAGCCCACGCCGCACACGTTCGACGAGGCCCAGCTGCAGATCTACACGCTGATGCATCGCGACTCTTACCCGCGCTTCGTCAACTCGCCTTTGTATAAGGCGCTAGCGCACATGTCGGCTGGCTCACCCTCAGCGGCGTCACCCGCAACCGCCACCCCCGCGCCCACACCCGCCCCCGCGGACAAGTGACGGCGGCGTCGCCTTGTGCGCTAAAACGTGTCTTCTATCATAGTATAAAAATCCATACAGCAGGTAATCCCTCACTGATTTAATGGGAATTCAAAGGTTGTAAAAATAACAATTTCCATTGCGAACGATTTCGAAGTTAAAGCGCTAAGCTGCCTCGTGGGAAGTAACAATGACACCCGTCAACCCTAAAACCGTTTCCCGACTGTCATATAAAAGTAAGTATGGCAGTCGGGTGCCTTCGTATGACAACTGTATGGATTAGTAGACTGTGCTTATTCTGTAAATACCCTCAATATACATTAATATAATTACACGGGTACTAATTTTGTATATAGTTAGGTTAAGTATAAGAGTAGGTGAGGCGCGTGCGGCCCCGCCGCGGCAACTTCGCTGGTCCACCGCCGCCTGCGCCCCGCTTCCGACCCGTCGCCTCTCCCTCTCCCTCCCACATCCCCTCCCTCCCCCTCTATGTCCCTCATAACGTCACGCCTCCCGTCCCCGACAGCATGACGCAAGTTCGCGTCTTTTAGTTAGAAGCAATAAAGGTGGACCAAATAAGTTTGCCAGAGAGTCAACGAATAAATTTGTTCATGTATATTTGTGTTTCATTTGTAAAGATTTAATAAAACCTTCAGAAAGTAAGGATTTCAATATAAACTACTTACGTAAGATATTATCTGTAAATCGCGAGAACTTTGTATCTAACTATTAGTATGTAAATATCGTGAACTGTTCGGCACATGTATTTTATTGATTAGGTAAAAATCAAACTTTCTAAAAGTCTATCTGCGTTTTAATTATCATCCCTTAACTTATAACATACTTTATTTTAATTAAATATTTACTGAAAATCAATTTAAATGAAGCCCAAACAGAATTTATTAAAAATTTAACATTTGTTAGGATTTAAAAAAAAAGTAGAAAAACTAATGTTATTATATACTTTAAGCTTTTCAATTGCTATGTAAGTATAATTTTCAGTTTAGATTTCTAATATTGACAAAGCACAGCTAAAATTTAGAAGATCTTGCTTTAAAATATAACCATTTTTTAATAAATGAATAAAAATGTAGAGGCAGTGGTAGCCCAGTGGTAACGCGTTCGCTTGGGTAATCGAGTGAAGCGGGTACAAATCCCGGGTCTCGCACCTCTGATATTTTCATGCGCGAATCATTTCGCTGGTTGTCTGGTCGCTGTTGTATTACCATGACAGTAAAAGGAATATATTGTGCCTGTGCACACAACTTGTGTACCATAATGTCGTGGGTAGGTCAGGATATATAGGTGGTAAGATCAGGATTCAGCTAGGTTGGCTGCAGTAGCCGAAATCAGTTATGTTACGCTACTGTTACGATAAGGTAACGTAACGGTACGGTACGTTAAGATAAAAAATGTTTCCTTTATACCTATGTGTATGATACAGAAGAAAAATAAAAGAAGAAAAGTAATTGAATTCATTTAATTAACTAACCTTAAGAAATTTAAGTAAAACAAAATGACAATTTATGGCAACACCTAAAAAAATGAAAACAAAAAGGTTGACATCAATGCAAAATTTACAATTTATAATAATGTTGAACGATACAGTAAAAATATATTATACAGATTAAAACTAATAAACATAGAACTAGAATAAGATACAGGTACAGATAAAAACCAAATTAAATTATCTATATATACTTATTATAAAGAGGCAGTTTGTTTGTTTGAACGCGCTAATCTCAGGAACTACTAATTCAATATAAAAAATTCTTTTTGCATTAGATAGCACGTTTATTCTGGAAGGCTATAGACTATATAATATCTTATAATGTATAGTCTATCTATTCCATACTAATCGTTATAACGTAATTAGGAACGAACCCGAGCGAAACGAGGTCGTCGTTAGTGCGATATAATTTACATGGAGGTGGAATATCGGAAACATATATATTTTTTTAATATATAGTAGTATTTAAAATAAGAGTTATTAAAATTTTAATAAAAACTATAGGAAATTATTTAAATAGAATGGTATTAAGGAGGGCAAGTCTCTAGGACATAACCTCGCTTCGCTCGGGCGCGTCCCTAGGTACGGGTAAAATGTTCACAATTTGAAGGTTTTAAATTTTTTTGCACGGAACACTAATTCTCTTTCCAAAATAAAAGTAGCCTACGTTTAACTTTTTATAACACAACTATATGCCAGTGAGAGTCCCGATAAAATCGGTTCGGAGATTAGCCGGAACAAACATACAGACAATAATTTTAAATTTTTATAAATATACTTTCATATACATGGATGTGTGGAGTGACGAGAATGGATAAAATAAGGAATGAGTACATAAGAGGAAGCTTAAAATTTGCACCAGTGACAGGGAAGTTGAAAGTTGGTATGGGCATGTGAAGCGGAGGAATGAAACGCATGTGACGAGAAGAGTGATGGAAACGAATGTAGATGGAGGAAACTGCTACGCATATCCTCTGCTCGTGCGGAACTCTCATGCACCGCAGAAATATCTATCTAGGGCAGCATATTATGCAACCGGAAGAGATACAGATGCTTCCCGCTCAGAAAATCAGAACTAAGCGGAGAACTTTAAATTAATTCTAAAGGGAGCTACAATGGACCATAACTGGTCGACGTAGCTAGGGCCGACTTCTGCACCACACCCAATACAATAAATAATATGGAAAGGTAGAGGAAGACCGAAGAAAAGATGGATAGATTGTGTGAGACAGGACATGAAAGAGAAAGGGGTGAATGATGAGATGACGAGTAATAGGGGAGAATGGAAGAGGAAGACTTACTGCGCCGATCCTAAGTGACTTGGGAAATGGACAGGAAGAACAAGATCTAATTCCCATTGGAAAACACGTTATAATATAATCCAAAAAAAATGATAATCAGAATTACTTAAAACTTGGTATAAGTGCTCTTCAATAAAATTAAATAAATACGTGTTTTAGCATTTTTCGAAATTCATCCTCTAAGGGGGTTAAATAGGGGATAAAAGTTTGTATGAAACCACCTTTTTAGAGATTTTTTGCAGCTTTAGCGCAAGCGAAGCCGCGGCTTCTGCTAGTTTATTAAAATTATAAAAAGCCTAATAGTTTCATACTTATAATCAATGTCATAATATATTTATTCATCGAAAGTAAAAATAATAATAATATTATAACACCTTAATTTTTGTATATATTAATTACGTGATATTTCTAAAATATCTTAATTTGTAACGACCTTATAAAATATAGACAACATTATTAGTGATGTGTTTTATTTTCAACATTAAAAAATATGTTTCTTTTGGTTTTAGCATTTTCAGCGCTCTGTACTTCTCATATAAAAAAGATATTACTAACATAATAAGATTTTATAGTAATGGCACTTTGATTAGTATTATTTCTTTGTTTACTTGGTTATATAATTATTTACTAACATTAATGAATGATGCGAATTAAAAATAAAAAATAAAAATAACTACATATATATTATACAATATTACATTACACAAACGCAGACATACCCTGGCCTGGTTGGACTGGACAATATATGCCATCGATTTAAGGGGGGGAAAGAGGGTGAGGGAGGAGGGGAGGGGTGACAGGGACTCCCCTTTAAAAGGAAAAAGAAAAGAAAGGAAAATCGCGGAGGCTAGTAGTTTTCGAGACATTTAACTTCCAAAATTTCAATTTTCAAGGTTCAATTTAAATTGTTGTATATTTCAACCAGAATTACGTAAACACAATTGGTGACAGTTTTAAGACAACTTTTGCATTGGATTTAGTAATGTTTGTTTATTACTTTTTTGATTGATGATATGTTTACATTAAATGAATTAATGTGTAATAATAGGTACCGGATAAAGTGGCTAAGGATTAAGAAAAAAGTTCTAAAAGTTCTAGTCGTTCTGGCACTCACCGTATTATGTATTTAAATTGTTAATGATTGAAAATGACTGAGCAAATAGAATATTGTAACGAACTTTGTGAAAAACATCGATACGTGAGTGGTAAAATTACATAAAAAGTGTAACTTTATTTTATTTTTCAACAGAAATATTTGTTTCCGCGGTATTAAATTTTATATATAGGCTTCTTTCTAATAAAGAGATCTATTAGCGAAAAAAGTATGAGATCTCAACTCGATGGCATACTTTGTACAGTTGAGCCCCTTGGCCCTTTTAATTTTTATTTATATTAAAAAAAGTAAAAAAAAAATAATAATCTTGCGTATATTTTTAGAAGTATCATTTCAAATAAAAGAAAAATGAATAAATAATACTTTCTTAATACTTTCTTAGATTTACGCGAATGTTTGACATTATTAAATAAAACTATCTTTTCGGATTATTTCGCGGATTTATTTTGATTTTTGGTTCCCGACGTTTCGAATGCTTTACAGCATCCATGGTCACGGGAGAGACTGAGGTGTTACATGTCTTAAAGATATAGTTGTTACAGACAGCCTACCCACAATTAACAAAATGAACAAACAAAGCGATTACATTGGACAAACAAAGCGATCCATTAGAACCCGGGTCAAAGAACACATAGCTGATGTGAAGCACCGTCGCAATACAACATCTGCTGTCTGCAAACATAGCCAGGACCGCCCAAGCCATTATATTCGTTTCGATAGACCTCAAATCCTGGCGAAAGAAAACCGATATCGCCCTAGAATGATTCGAGAAGCCATAGAAATTAAAAAACATCCAAATTTCAATAGGGAAGATGGCTGGGTACTACCATCGTCATGGGATCCTGTTATTAATATAATAAAATCAAATAATAAATATAAACATAACAGACAGGCAGATGTAGTAAGTTCATACTGTGTAGATCAAAATGACAGCTTATCAGATTAATATTTTTCATTTGTAAAAGTATATTTTAATAGTGTTGCTTAGTAAGTTGTTTTTAAATAATAGCAAACTAAATTAAAATGATTATCCGTAATTAATTTTAACTTTTTAAATTACACATAGAACAATTATATGGCTTTAATAATTAATACTATATTTTATATTTTTATTTATGGTTATAAATATAATAATGGCAACACTAAATATAGATTACTAATTAATATTTTTAAAATTGTAGTAATTATAAAAATAATAGCAAAAATTAAATAAATAATTTTCCATATTCAATTATAATTAAAATTATAAAAAATGTTTAAAGTTAAAAATATTGTAATGTAATTGGTGCAATTTTCATTTTGTTAATTGTGGGTAGGCTGTCTGTAACAACTATATCTTTAAGACATGTAACACCTCAGTCTCTCCCGTGACCATGGATGCTGTAAAGCATTCGAAACGTCGGGAACCAAAAATCAAAATAAATCCGCGAAATAATCCGAAAAGATAGTTTTATTTAATAAAAAATGAATAAAATTAATGTTTATATCAATGATACTTATAAATGTCAATTCAATATTATAATTAGATTGACGTTAAGACCAATGACCATAATTTCACTACATGATTTCGTAAGAGATTTAATTTCCCTTGCTGTGCGAGAATTAAAGCATTATGATAAATTATTATATATACGCAAGACTAGTAAATTTCACGCAAATTACATGTATATCCACCACTATGAGGTAAAAAAATCCCTCCTTCTTTGTCTTTCTTTGTGATATTCCTATCTCTTTCTGTCATAACGACACCACCAGGGCATATCCAGATATGATAAGCAATATACACATAATATATCACATTAACCTATTTTTATCAATATCTAGCTTCTGTCTGAGGACTCCTCCCAAAATGAACTCCGTGGAGACAATAATTGCACCCTTCTTCTTCAAAGTCGGCCAAAGAGACTTGTCCGCGACACACGACACGCAGATCCACAGTGGCCCCTGATCCTTCCATTTACCGCCCGAACATTCCACTATTACTGTTAAAAAAGATATATATTTAAACAAGCGCGACGGGTTTTTGTCTTATAGCGGCTCGCCCTCGCTTTGCTCGGGTTTGCCTCTAGAAAAACACAAACAGGTTTATTCCACGGGAACCGTTCATATTTCCGGGATAAAATGTAACTTGTTGTTTGACTGGAAATACAAGGTATCAGCATGCCAAATTTTACTAAATTAGGTGCATAAGTTGTTGTGTACTAAGCTGTATAAGTTACTATAGTTTTTTAACTATCCCATGGGAACTCTTTGCTTTTCCGGGATGAAAAGTATCTAAAATGTTGACCGGGGATATAAGGTACCACCATGGAAAAGTTTCATTTAAATCGGTCCAACAGTTTCAGAGATTAGCCCGTACAAACAGACAGAGAAACAAAAAAAATGAAAAAAAAAACTAGATTTGTTCTATTTCTATTCTTACATTACCCTGACTCGGTTTTTAGCATTTTTTTCTATGTACAGGCACTCGACCTCTACAGTTCATATTATACGTGTACAATTAGTGTAATGTAATAAATTGATTTAATTAAAAGTTTAATTTCTTCTTCATTTAAAGCATTTAATATTTTTTTTAAATGTTGTTTTACAATTATTTTCTATTTAATTATTTTTTTTATTCTATTAATTGAATTCAATTATTTCAAATTCTAACTCAACTTTAATTAGTGAATTTAATTTCTATTATAACATATATAAAATGAATGTAAAATCGGACAAGTGTGAGTCTAAACTCGCACACCGAGGGTACCGTAACACTGAACCATTAAGTTTGTTTTTTTTTAAACATACTTCTAAAGACAAAGTTGTTTTTTAAATTTAAATTATGATTTTGAAAATTTTGAATTTAAAACGCAAAAAAAAATTACTTAGTTATGATACAAAAATAAAATTTTCTTATTAATTATACTTTTTAAAATAAAACCAACTTACATTTCATTTCCTCGGCGTTAGGCATCACATTTGGAGTTGACGAAATATTGTATCCACTTAAAAAGTTTCGCTTTCCCACCAACGAACGTTCTAGATTGAACTGAAACCTCTTTTCCGTAACATCATCTTTTATTAAATACAACCATGGATCTGAAAATAGAGAATTTTTTTTATGATATTTATATAAATAATCCAAAAAAATCATAAAAGAGTTGGCCGCCACGGGACGCGCGGCGGGTGTGAAACATGTATGTTAATATGAGAATTCATAATTAATAAAACCTATAACGAAATATGGAGTAAAATAAAGAAAAAATAGAGTTTCGTTAATAAAATTAATTTATTTTTCTTATTACTATAATTATAATAATAATCACAGAATAGAAGGGTAAAATTACATATATTTGGTAAATAAGATATTGTAAAAATTGCGATAACATGCAAACGTAATGCTTCTCACCGACGATCATGTTGGTGTCGGCGCAGGCCTGCACCCAGGCGGGCCCCACCACGGGCCGGCCGAGCCCCACCGCGCACAGCAGCTTGAACGTCCTCTTTATCTGCATCGTCAGCACCACTGTGCACTTCGACACTTCGGTCACTATTATCGCTCCTGGATGGAAATATGTACTTTTTAAATATAAATACTTTCCAATTAATGCATTCTTACGTTTACGCGAATATTTGACATTGATTATAAAACTATCTTTGTGGATTTTTTATAATCTTCTGTATAATAAATATTATAAATATGAAAGTTTGTGAGTATGGTTGTTTGTTACACTTTCACGCCAGAACGGCTGAACGGATCTGGATGAAATTTGGGACAGAGATGGATTATAGTCTGCGAAAATTTATATTTTACTTTTTATCCTGGAAAAATATACGGCTCCCGTGAGATAATTTTTGTTTTTCTAGAGACGAACCCGAACGAAACGAGGGTGAGCTGCTAGTCTGTATATAAATATTTTAAATATAAAAGTTTGTGAGTATGGATGTTTGTTACTCTTTTAGGCCAGACCGTCTGGAATAAACACATAGACTACTTACTTTTTATCAACATAAAATCTGCAAAGATAAAAAATCTGTTAAGCTGGATATGGCGCGGGATTTTACTAGTCAAGTCTTCCACTCAAACAGTTTGGAAAAGAATAATCTGAATATCGACTGTAGATTGACTGTTTTAATAATTATAACGTTTCTGAATTTATACTATAAATTTAAATTCTGTCCAAAACTTTCATACATAATCCAGATTCTTTCAAGAGATACAATAATTCTGTTAAATTTATCTAAATCCCATTAATTTTATTTCAATTGACACAAAAGAGTTTTTTTATATTAAAATAGAATAAATTACCTAATTTCTCCAATTTGTTTTTAACTTCTTCGCAAGGAAACGCCGTGAATAACACATAGTGCGTCTTTATTTTTCTAGCCGGAGTCGATCTCAACGACGTCACAGTTTTGGTTTTCTTCGCACTCGGATATTCGAAGTTACCGGATCTTTTTAATTTATTTGGAGAATCTATTCCCGACTCGGAGGACATAGTATAAATTGTACTTTGTTCAAGTCCATTTGATATTTTATGCGATTTATTCTCACTTGATGATTCTTCCGATTTCTTTGACGTTCTTTGTCTTTTACTTCGCCGTATTTCTTTTTCCGGTGATTTCTTATCTTTTTCTTTACTCTGCTCACGATTTTTCTTATCGCTTTTCTGCTTATCATTTGATGGCGATTTTGAATTTTTGTGACCATTTTCAGATTTTTTGCTTTTGCTCCGGGAATTTCTACTTTTTTTTACATCACTATCTTTATTTTTGTTCACATCAAGTTCTTCTTCAATAGTGTATTTTTGAGCTTCATCCTTTTCTTTTGTTCTTCTACTTCTACGCGGTTTATGTTCACTTTTTGTAATTTTCTCTTTTGTGCTTTCATCCTTTTCCACTTTTTCTTTACCAGCTTTCTTTCTTTTGTTTTCCAAGTCCGTTTTAGTTTTCTTCTTTTCTTCCTTAGATTGCAAAGTATTAACACTTTCAATGTCTTTTTTTGTTTCATCGTCATCAATAACTATTATAGATTTAAATAGGCTATTACATAGCTTCTGTGAATCTCCGTCGCTATCTTTCAGTCTGGATGTGGGTTTTCTAATTCTACTACTACTTCTTGATGGTAATAATTCTGCTTCAGTGTTTTTATTTAAATATGACCTTATGTCACTAGAACTTTTCTCTTTTCGTTTATGATTAGTTACGATTTTGTTTGAGATTCGTAAATTTTGTTCGGAGTAATTTTTTACTTTAGTTTTATTAGGCAATGATCTTTTAGTTTTAATTTCATTTTTGTGTGATTCGTTCTTAAACGATATCTTGTTTATCTTGTTATTTTCTTTCGTTTTCAGAGGGACTTTCAAGTCGGAGACGTCATTAGACTTTTGTTTAAATGCAGTCAAATTTTTTTCTGTGCCTACAACATCCATTATTTGTGACTTACTTAAGTTGGCCACGAAACTATTTATTTTTTCTTCTATATCACAATCTTCATCGAATTCGTGGCCCACACGATGTTTAATATTGTTTTCTTTTGGTGATTTCAAACTTAATTTTTTATTCGTATTTAGTGTTATCGTGGGTTGTTTTACAATTTCTGGTGAAAGTTCTTTCTGAGAACATAAATCTATAAAGAGTTCTTGTGTTGCCGCATAGTAAATGTCATCATTGTCACTGTGTTTCTTTTCAATTTCACTATCATTTTTACTCTCCTGAACTACATTTGATAATTGTTTCTCTATATTAGGTACTATTTTTCTTTTTCTTCTGAGAGGAGAAGGACCGGGTTGTTTAAAATCTATGATCTCTTCTGAATAAATGTTTTGCGTCAAAGATTCTGGTGAAAGTTCTCTCTGAGTACATAAATCTATGCAGGGTTCTTGTGTTGTCGCATAGTAAATTTCATCATTGTCACTGTCTTTCTTTTCATTTTCACAATCAGTTTTATTCTTCTGAACTATATTTGATAATTGTTTTTCTATATTGGGTACTGTTTTTCTTTTTCTTCTGAGAGAAGGACCGGGCATTTTAAAATCCATGATCTCTTCTGAATAAATGTTTTGTGTCAAAGCTTCTTCAAAGCATACATTTTTTTGCAAGTCTTCTTCTACTTCAATTACTTGTGTTTGTAAGTCAGCAATTAATCTTGAGTCCGTTTTATCTTCTTCAATGATTTGAGTCTGTAAATCATCGAGTGCAGTTGGCATTTTAAAAATATTAGCTTCTACATTTTGTTCATTGTCTAATGGTGTTTCTTCAATAACTTGTGTGCACATGTCCTCAAATTTTACATTTTCTGTTATTTCATTGGGTCTTTCAACATTTTCTGGTTCATCTTCACAGTCAGTTAGATTTTCATCTGTTGCTTTTTCTTTTTCATTACTTTTAGCAACAGGTTCGGGTTCATCCTCGCAGTCTGTAACATCATCGTCGTTTGTCACTGCTTTTAATTTTTGTGTCATCGCAATAAAAATGTCATCTTCACAATCCGTAGAATCACCAGACTGACGACGCTTTATTTTCGAATTAATATTTTGATCGTAATTTTCTTCTTTTTCTGACTCTTTAACGTTATTTTCACAAGTCAATGGGTTTTCGTTATTTATAATAATATCTGGATCCATTAGTGATTGTGACTCTAAATTGTCTTCTAAAGGTGGACTATCGACTTCGTCAAATAGAATTATATCATTAGATAGATCTAGTTTCTCCTTTAAATTTTCACTGCTTAACGAATTAGATTTTTTATCAGTATTGATACTTTCTGTATTTACAGATTTATTCTCAGATGGAAGATCTTTTTCACTATTAGTTATAATATTTTCATTTTCTTTATTTTCCGAAATAGAAAAATCAAATTGTATGTTTTGTTGGTCATCAATTTTGCACACTTCTGGTAAATCAGCCGGTAGTTGTGTTTCCATTTCATGTATTGCGAGAGACCTCTCTTCACCCCTTTGGGTAAGAGCATTGTATATAGAACCATTACTATTATTTTTATCATCATATGGGAGTTGGGTTTGTAATTCATGTATATTTTGAGGTATTGACGAATCATCGAGATTGTTAGAAATGTTAGCCTGAGAAGTAAATGATTCAGACTTTTTGGAAGAAGTCCAATAAACATTGTCTATTTTATTTGTACCAATGGGTTTTATTTCTATTGTTTTCACACATGCTTTTAGAAAATTATCTCTAGGGCTTTTAAACATATTCTTTGATTGCTTCTGTTGTGATGCACCAATAACTGAATCATCCTGTAAATACAAAAAAAAATTAAGAGTTACATGTTACTATGACAATTCTCTTTGAATATACTCCCCTGTCCATTTCCCCTAAATAATATAATTCTATATAAATAGCAGTTTCTGAATATAGAGTAAAGTATCTATATAACGAGTTAAATATATCTCATTATATAAAACAATTACAAATTTATTATTTCATGTATCTTGGAAATTGCTCTAATGATTTGGATCAAATTTTGTATTGAAATACTTTGGCTTTTTATGTTAATCTATATACACAGGTGTAAAAAAATTAAAAAAGAAGTGTGTACAGTGTACACATGTAAGAAGTGAAATTTCATTGGTTATTTATATTATGTACATCTATCTATTCCATACTAATCTTTAAAACATACCTAGGGACGAACTGGAGCAAAGCGAGGATGAGCCATTAGTTATGAATATTTTGCATATTTGAAAACAAATTAGAAAAAATTGTAATCTTTGAAGATAGCAACAGAAAGCATATCTTCATCAAATATATCATTTGTCAGACAATAACAACGGCTACTATGGCAACCTAACTGTTGAAAATATTACTTAACTTTAAACTATTTCGAATTCTAAAATCAATAATCTATCTATACTAATATTAGAAAAAGGCAAAGTTTATGAGTTTGTAAGTTTATGACTTTGTGACGTTGTAGGGTGTAATCTCTGGATCTACTGAACCAATTGAGATGAAATTTGGTAAGAAGATAGTTCGAGACCTTGGGAAGGACATAGGGTACTTTTTATCCCGAAAATCATTCCTTAAGGGGGTGCAAATGGGGATAAAAGTTGTATTGGGAAGCAAGCTAGGGACGAACCCAAATAAGCGAGAGTGAGTCACTAGTACATTTATTAAAATTGTAACTAAGCCGAATCTGTACATTAAATATTTTTTGAAAAATCATTTTGAAATAGACATTATTAGTGATACAGAGGCCGAATCTAAAGTTTTAAGAATTTTTATCTGTCTGTGACTGCATCACGGGAAAACCACTGGAGGGATTTTGATGAAATTTGGTATGGTGATAGCTGGTTATCCGGGTCAACATATAGAATACTTTTTACTGCGGGAAAATATCTCATCGCTGATAAATTTATAGCAAACGTTAAAACATAACTAGAAATGAACCCGAGCAGAGCAAATTGTAATCTTGAAAGATTACTATTTATTTCAACACAAAGAACATAATATATATTATTATTAATCTTCATATTTACATATATTTTATTATTTATGTTTTATTAGTTTATCATTAAATTGAATTGTGTTCATTAATATAAGCAACTATTAAATGTGGCAAAGTTAACTTAAGTTCAATGGTATTTCAATAAATCTCATATACTATTATATTAAATGTTTTAAAAAATATTTGGTATCATCTGATCAGAGTGACATAGACTTATAAACATTGATGTTTGTATCTAGAACCAAAATTGGTGTGATTATGTTTAATGCAAATAAAAATAAACTTCCCAGAAATAAAGGGTTACTTTAAAATTTCATCATAAAAACCATTGTTTTTAAATGCAATAATTATAATATACATAATTATGTATTTTAAAATCAATATATAAGCTTATGCTGTGATATGCTTATCTGAAGGTGTACTTACTAAATTATCTAAAATCTACCAAAAAATATTAAAGTTTAAATATGTTATTTGCTAGAATCAATAAAATAAAAAATATGCTTATATTAAAAAATATTTCTAACCTTGTCACTGAAATCTGGTGATTCTGGAATAGTAGTAACTTGTATGTTTAATTTTGATATACATCTACTTAGTACTGGAGTTTCAGGTACATTAATGGCTTGGGTCATCGGCAAGTCATTCTCTTCCTCAAATAATCTGAATACTCCAAAAACTTGGCCAAACTGCACCATGTCACCATTTTTTAATGGAGATGGCATATATGGCAGTAATGTTTTCTGAAATACAAGAATTATATTATCAGAAGTGCAATTAATACCAAAATAATGTTTTATATATATTAAGAATAAGTATGACTCTTTTGCATAAATAAAAACTAATCAACTAAATATCGATAAATATACTTACACCACTGAGTTTGGTTTTATTGGCAGAATCCAAGTCCATAAGCATAAATTCATTTTTGCTAAGTATATTGATAACAGCATGATGTCTAGATATTGACTGAAAAATGTAAGTTTCATTTAGAAAGAATTACATAAACTTAAATAAGGTAGCATGAAGATCCACATTATAATTATTATATTAGTATTTGAAATTCCTTTTATTTAATTTAATATATTATAGAAATTTAGAAGTGTTAATTATATATCCAATAGCAACATACATTTACATCCAAAATAACACTACATGTATCTGGATCCCTTCCGATTTTGTTCGGACCTTTTTTCAGTGGATGTTTGTTTCCACAAATTCCTAAGAATCCAATCTAAAACAATAAATAAATAAAATAGAGACTTAAACAAAGCGTTCGTAATATACAACAAAATAATTTTGAAAAGTTTGTAAGCATTGAATAACCTGATCGGGAAAGATTTTATCATTATTTATCTCAGAAAAATCTTGTGTGCATTCGAGTCGCTGTGTTAACTCCATTATTTTTGAAAAAGATTTTCCATTAGCACCACTGCTATATTAAAAAATAGTAGTAATAGTAATTTTATGTTAGTTGTTTTTACTATAATATTACATTTCCCGCAAATATGACGCAAATCGCAATTTGACAAATAAGTGTCAAATTAAATTTGTACCTGTGGGCTGTGACATTTTGGTAAATGCGGCTATTTTTATTGAAATATTCAAAAATAATGTGTGAGTTATTAAATACTAATATGTATTATAAATACTATAATATAATATTAAATTGCCTTTCTATTCGTCCGATAGTCGGATGAATAAAAAATATAGTGTTCGTCCGACTATATTATTGATGTGGAATTTATTGCGACTGCGTCTATTTTTATGTTTCTACTTTCTAGTGTACTGTGTAAGGTTGTGTTTTTATTTTAGAAGCCATGAACGAATTAATTCGTTCATGTTAGAAGCATTTTAATGAAAAATAATATATTTGATTAATTTGTAACAATTGATGTATACGGCTCCTATTTATGTAAACTTGACCGATAGGAATTGATTATGGATTTAAAAAATCCAAAAAACGCGGATATTTATTTATTTCCCGCGTTTTTAACAGATGTTGGTACTACCTGATAGTGACTAGATTAAAAAAAAAGTAGGAATTTTGAAACGCGTATAACCATACGTATATATTTAGCTACAAAATCGCTTTATTTTTGTTTATATTCATCGTACGCGTATTATATTAGCTGTTGTAATACTTCTGGCCTTTGAAGGATAGAAGTACAAGAATCGGCTCATATCGGAAACAACTTGAAACAGTGTCCAGTGGTGAGCAGCAAATTGTAATTCAGAAACTCACCGGTATAACGCTAGCGTAGCATGTAGAAGAGATATAAATATATGAATTTAGCAGTTTTAAACGGAGTGAAGTGTGCTGAATTATTATTACTTGAAAATAATATGTAAATATATTCTTTATCGGTGTTTGCCTATGTCAGAACTATTTTGAAAAGCGCGTCACAGCAAAGCGGAAATCTTTCTTTCCTTGTTTAATTCACCATCTTATTCTTATAGCTTTTGGCGTTATGTTTTAAACATTCATCTAGTTGTTTTCTGTGGCGCCACCAATTTGATGCGTGTCAGCGGTAATTTTTTATACAAGGGATAGTTCTCCTTAATTCTACCCTCCATAATATTCTGACGGGTAAATTACCCAAAAAGCGGGTATTTTAGGCGATTTTTGATGGCGGATAATTTGACGGGTATTTTCATTGAGCGGGGTGAAAGCAGTGCATTTTAGCTGATTAATTTGATATTTTAAGTTTTTTTTCATGTTTAATTTAATATTTTGAAGCTGTTTAATTTAGAATTGATTACAATGACTTCTTTTTCTAACATTAGTACTTTCTTTTATTCTACATAAAACATGAATAAATTACTTAAAAAAAACTATTTTCGGGTATTCTGCTCATGTTTGGCACCGGCGGGATAAACCGGGTATTTTGAGGTTTATTGGTCAAGTAAATCAACGACCTACCCTACCCCAGCCTGCAAATTTATGATATTCGCAATGAAAAAAATACTAATCGATAGATTTTTAATAGCTCAATTCAACTACGTAGCCCTTCCAAATTGCTTACCATTAATTATAAAATTAAAAATCAATAAAGTCCTTGAAAAAAAATTCATTTATCCGTATATTCAAATTTCTATATCTTTTGATATATACAATATTTTAAATTGCTCAAAGTTCTAAAATACTGCTCAAGTTGCATTTGTAATTGCTCAAGTAGAGTTCTCACCAGCTCCACTTTCCTTAATTATTAAATAAATATAAATAGTTTGAATAAATTTAACGTATAGATAGGCTGTTGGTATTAATTTTCATTTATTGGTAGATTCCAGATCTGTTCTTTATGTTATAATATCTGAAGTGGAATCACGTAATGAGAACAATTCATAAATTCAATAAATTTAAAGAAATCCACCGAGAAACAGAATTAAGACGTTGAATTGGAACGATTGTCCAAGCCCGCCGAGGCCGACCGACAATGCGCGGTGCGCATGCGCACGCTCACTTAACCTACGTTACATTTATTACAACTATACTTTTAATTATTTAATAATCAGCGAAAGTGGAGCTGGTAAAAACTCTACTTGAGCAATTACAAATGCAACTTGAGCAGTGTTTTAAAACTTTGAGCAATTTGAAATATTGTATACATCAAAAGATATAGGAGTTTGAATATACAGATAAATTAATTTTTTTTCAAAGACTTTATTGATTTTTAATTAAATAATTAAAGGTGAGCAATTTGAAAGGGCTACGTAGTTAAATTGAGCTATTGAAAATCTATCGATTTGTATTTTTTTCATTGCAAATATCATAAATTTGCAGGCTGTGGTAGGGTAGGTAAATCAACGACTGTTATCTCGCAGCCCTGTCGCATAATCGCATAAATTATCTATGTTCAATATGAAGAATCTAGATTGTCTGTTATTGGCAGCGTTGCCAATTTGTTGAGGGCCAATTGGGGAATTCCTCAAACTGCGGGGAATCTCAAGTCAATTAGGAATTTGTAAAATACAAGTACATTGGTGTAATCAGTTTATAAAAATTTCATCATTAAAGTGCACTTTTTCAATGATTTAAAAAAATGTAGTTTATAATATAAAAAAAATTCGATTTCTCCGATTCTTTCAATTTTTAAGGGTGTTTTTACAGGACAACCATACAATGTTTTTGTTTCTACAAAAAATATAGTACAAGACAAAAAAAAACCAATTTAAATATTGAACGATTTTTTTAAATGTAAACGTCCACTTGAAGTTCGGGACGGTTTTCAGCCTCCCGAGACCATGAAACATAAATTTCTGGGTAAAGAATTTCAATTTCAAAAAAAATGCTTATTTTATGTATTTCGAAGATTACATTCTCCTAGTTTCATGAAAATCAAAAGATTATTGCAGAAATTAAAAATAAAACCTAGAAAACATTAAAAACTGAGTTTTTTGCAAAATATCTCGAAAAGTTTGAGGTTATTGTAAAAAGTCTCATTTATAAAAGTTATAGATTTGTACTAGACCTACAACTTTTGTAAAAAACATTTTTCGATTGAACGTCACAATAAGCCGGAAATTGAAAAAAAAACTATTTCTTAACGCTTTGAACCTTCCCATTTCTCAGGGGTAGCGGGGCATTTGACGAATTTCTATGCCTGCAAACGTTTTAAAAACAGAAAATTAGGTTTTAATTTGTTTGTTCCCAAACGGGATTCCGATTGGACTATATTAATTTTATTTAGTTATTATATTTCAAACATAAAGAAAAATCCGGAATGATAGTTTTATTTAAAATTACGTAAAAATAAGAAAGATTAAAAATACGTATTATTTAAATAGTTGAAACTTGTTTTTTTTAATTAAATTGAGGGGAATTTGTGAAGAATCAGTATATATTTTTCACCAAATTTGGGAATTTAAGTTAGATTTTCGGGGAATTTGATAAATGTGTATTGGCAACGCTGGTCATTGCCATTTGGCATTGCTCAATCATCAATGTTCTAAGTTCTTATTTAATCTATATTAAGCTAAATTTATATATGTAGCAATATACTCTATGAAGCTAAATAAGTCAGATAAAATCTCAGTATTTGTGATACTTGTTTTATTAAGTGTAAATGAAAATAGAATATTATTTGCAAGAAAATCACGTTATTGTAATATTGTATGACTCGTTTACTTATTTATTTAGTTAAATTTTTTAAATATGATTGAAATTTGAAACTGCAGTTTTGTAAGTTTAAGAGTTACTTAGAGATAGCGGTGACTTCGTAATTGTATAAAATGTTCATATTATATTATTAATTTACTACATAATATTTTAAATAAATTTACAGGCTGTATCAGTCAAAAATCTTCGAATAAATTATAAACTTGTATATTTTATTATAATTCTAACCTAATGGAAAACCAAAAAGGGTCTTCCGATGAAGATATACCGAGTGATTTCTTTGACGATTTTAATAAAGATGAGTTTATGGAAGGTCTTAGTGTAATAGATAGCTGGGATGATGATGATAAGAAACTTCAAAATTCGCGTGCTAGAATTAACGCTGAAAAGATAGATAGCGTTCGAGATCTTCGGGAGCTCATAGATCGGGAGTCACAGGAAAGGCAAAGAGATTATCATGAGAAATATGAAGAAAGAGTAAAATGGAAAAGAAATGTTCAAGATTTTCCGAATAAAAAGAAGTCAAAAGATAAACATCGAGATGACAGCATGAGTCACATGGACGAGTATATAAAACCTGGCAGTCGACGAGATCCCAGTAAAACGAATGAAGCCATTAAAAGGGATAAGGAAGTAAAAGTGAAGGAATATCTAGCAAAACATTTAGAATCAAGTGACGATTTGCGGCCACCAGGAACTGAGTTAGACGATTTCTTTGAAGAACATAGAAGTGTTGAAATAAGAAAACATAAATTAGCAGAAAAGGATATTCATGATGCGTCACCACCACGAAAACATCGAGCATCGCCTGTGAAATATCGACGGGAATCCCCTCCTATCAGACGACGTGATTCGCCGCCTCCGAGATATCATCATCGTATGCAATTTAGTCCCCGGCGGCAGCATTACAGTCCTAGGCGAAGTCCACATCGCAATGTTCGGAATTATATTCCATATAGAAATTTCCGCAATTATCACCGAGGCAGTCCAAGGAGACGAAGTCCGGAAATAGTGCGTCGTGAACGTCGTTCAAGATCACCTTATAAGCGCTACACACGAAGATCACGCACCCGCTCACGTTCTCTAGATCGAAGACTTGAAAGAGAGGAACACAGAAGATCACCTTCAAGATCTTCAAACCATATACCTGGCAAAGATGATTTTCTTTACCCAAAAACTTACTTTCCTTCCTCTACAGAATATCCTATGCTTACAAGCGAACCATCATATCAGGTTGCTTCAACACCTCAGTATGCTGAACCCACACCAGTTGAGTATGGAACATCAAGTTATTCTTATGCTCCTGGTCCAGCGTACAGTGGTTATGGAGTTTCTTATGAATATGAAGTTCAACCTCCTCCAATGGTTATGCCAGCACCACAACCTGTCCCTGCTCCAGTCGTGATTCCAACAACTCCTGATCCCTCTATAATGAATCCCATGCAACAACCCACAATGGTGCCGCCTCCTCAGCAAATTGTTCAGACTGTCACAAGTTATATACCTGATACTCTTCATAATACACCAACAGATGCTTTAGCAAAAGTAAAATTATTTCTTACTTTCTTATTCCATTATAAATACCTAATTTTAGTAATTTACACAAAGTCTCAAATTACAGCTGGTTGCAGATGGCAAGTTATCTCATGAAGACTATTTGAAACTTGCTCCAAATAAAGGTATCAGTGTTTTCAGCTATTAATTATCCTATTTTATAATTTTTAATAGACGACTTTCTATTTCTATGACTTCATATTTATTTAATAAAACTTTACCTTGTCATTACAGGTGCTAATCAGACTATGGACACCCATGCAAGGGTTGCCGGTGGGTACATCTTTATCAAACTTAATATACTCATATATTCTGTTGTTTTACATTTAATATTGTTGATCTAAATTTCCTGTTAAAACTTGATTTATACCTTTTGCCAGCATATTGTTAGGCAGTTGGTACTTTGCATATTAAAATTGTAAAATATTCTAAAAAAAACCCTGTGAACATTGTCCAAAACTTGTGTTTTCAGTTTTGACTCGATGCCACAACGCCATGTCCCGGTTAGGCTGCATAGTGTTGCCAAACCGGTTGTTAATAAACAACAATCTAATTGGCACTGAACAGAAACAAATTGTATCGAAATTTTGCTCTCCTCTGAAGCGTCAAGCGGTATCAGATTTTTATTTCACCAAATTCAATCCATCAGCAATACTTCAACAGAACAAGCAAATAGTGGACTCCATTATATCAACATTGGATATCGAGAAAGTTGTTGGTAAACCAAAGAAGAAATCTCAAAAGGAAACAAGGGAGATAGCAGTGCAGACGACGAAACCTTTTTGTGAAATGTGCGAAATTAGGGAATCAACTAAATGTAGTGACGTTGGGACATCTACCGATCCTGAGCACTTCACGTCTACAGTCCACACTCAAGTCGTGGAGCAAGATCTGTATAGTTCTAAGGCAGTGTTCAACCCTACGGGTGGTGCGGCAGAAGGTGCAAACATGTCTATCGCCCACATGACTCCGGCTCAGTTGGTATCACAGTTGGCGGCGCGGGCGAAGACGTTGAAGCAGTCGGAAACTCATCTTCCAAACCAGTTTCGACATGATGGCAGATACGACTACGACGGCCGAGGCGATCAATACCGAAACTACAATAATTATCGCTATTGAATGTTATTATAATTTGTCCCTGATATATTTTGTACTAAGATTATGGCGGCCAAGTAAGGCAAAGCCTAAATCTTTATTTTAAATATAAAAATAAAATTTACCTGAATAATTTCAATTTCTTGATTATAGGGTTATGTTTTAAGATGAGATTTTGTTTATGATAATCTTACTATGATATGTGTTAGTATTTAGATTTTTTTATTTAGGTGTATAAACTTATGGATTTTAAGATGTAAATATTATTTACATATGTATGTCTGTTTTAGTGCTATGGGTTTAAAATAAAACATGGGCTTTTTATAGCTTTGAATGTGACTGGCAGTTTCTTTCATGCAATGTGCTGCACATGTTATTTTGTTTGCAGTGTTCTAAATATGATAGTGTGTAACAATTGTGTTAGTAAAGAATTATACATTCAAATATATATTATTAAGAACACTACAATAATATTTTACTCAGGTGAATTTCACTTGTACCCACAGTAAATGTTTTAATGTATGTCATATAAATATGTATAACTTAAGTTGCAACATCAAGAAAAGAATGAAGAATGGAACCATCTTGTGTTTGGAGAGCAGCAGGATTTGAAGAATATGCAATAATTCATTATATTTTGACACCTCTTCTATGAAGTCTGTTACTTTGAAGAAGAGCTGTTAAAATTCTAAACCTCTAAAATTCAGATTGGCATCAAAATCTGCAGTGAAAAGACAAAGACATAGAAAGTGAAACGCCCATGAAATCTTTGGTAGTAGAAAGATTTATCTTCTGAAGAACGTCAAAATGTAAGGATGCTGCAGAGAAGTAAATGAACATCTTTACTGAGACCATACATTAATAATATAAATCTGCATTTGATATGTGAAGTCACAAAACTGTAATTCTTTGTTTAAATAAATAAATTGAAGAGGTACAAGTTGGCATTTTCATTTATTTTTATTTTTTAATAATATTGTTCAAACACGATTTAATAATATAGTAACACCATCTTTGAAACTAACAAGAATTTATTTTACTAAATATATTTTTAGTTTTTTGTTACAAAATTAACTAAGCTATATTATGTTATATTGTTCCCACTTGTTTAAATTAGTAATTACGAGGGAATGTAGGGTCGTACATACAGGTCAAACACATAACCCTCCTTTGGACTTCGCCGCAGTCAGGTAAAAATGTGATCTACTAGGTGTTGGGACGTTGGTACAGTAAGCTCTTTTAACTATTACTAAAATCAGTTATACATTTTAACATACATTTATATACATACATACTAATATATTTCGTTATTTTACATGCATATTAAGATTTATTGACGTATCATATTTATTTCAGATTGCACTGGATTGAAAGACAAATTGGAAAAGAAAACAAAGTTAAGTAATAAATATTTATTTCCTAAATGAAAATGTTTCATTCATAAACATACCTTGTACATTATAAGCATTCTATGATTAATTATATATTAATATTATTCTTAATATCACAATATAAAAGCTTAACCATCTAAAAAGTCGTCTAACCACTTTTCAAGGTCTTCAGGAGATTCAATGATTGGTTTTTTAGTCTCTTTTTGAACAATCGTTTCCACTGAAATAAGAAATATGTTTGTTATCTATACAGCTAAATAAAATTGAAGTGTCTGTTTGTAATATCATGCCAGTATTATCAAAATAACAGTTTTACTAAATGCAAATGAAATTATATATGGTACTTATAGAAAAACACAAATTTTAACATTTTTGTCTGTCTTTGTTCCGGCTAATCTTCGAAACGGCTGCACTGATTTTGACCCGACTTACTGGCAGGTAGTTGATGTTATTTTAGAAAAAGAATTAGGGTTCAGCTAAAAAAAATTAAAACCAACCTAGGGTTGCACCCGAGCGAAGTGAGGATAAGTAACTAGTTTATAATGAATTAATATCTTATACCTACTTTTAAATGCTATGTAATAAAAGTTAAGAAAGTAGAGAGCAAGCAATTGAAAATTAAAAATATTTCTTTAGGAAGCGATTCGAACCTACAACCCTTTTCATTAGTGACTCATGCTTTAACTAGCAGTTTTTAACTGTAAGTAAGAAATTACAGTTTTGCTATATAATTGTATGTGTTTTTTAAAAAACATGTTATTTGACTAAATTCTTACATGAGATAAATAAGGCTTTTAGATCAAAAATAGTGTAACCTCCATATTTATCAAGTAATAGATATTTAGTAGGTACTACAATAATTCAAAAATCAAAATATTTTATTCAGCATTAAATTATTACAATTTTTTACTAAACGTCATGAGTCTACTAACAGTTCGGAAATAAGAAGCCTCAGACCTAAGAAGAACTGGCAAAAGAAACTCAGCAGGACTAATATTAACTTATCTTTTTTTAAAGTCAATTTATTATTTACAATATTTCTATCAAGTTGAAGTAGCCTGAAGGGAATCATTTCATTCCCAAGGTGTGCCATCTTCTATAAAATCATTTATTGTATAATAGCCTTTAGCACACAAATGTTCTTTAACAATTTTTTTGAATTTGACAATAGAAGCCTTTTGAACATTTTCTGGGATCCTGTTGTAATTTTATTCAATAGTGGATTTAAATATGGTATTGGTATATCATCATCAAAAAATTTAAACAGAAATATCCCCAATGTATTACCATTAATAAATTGTAAGTCCTACCTATACTAGTACATAAACTAAAATAATATAAAAAAAAAACAAACCTTTAGGTGCTTCTTCTTCCTTTGGCGAAATTATAACAGATTCTTCTTGTTTTTGAACAAAAACTTCTTTGCCTTGATTTTGTTCAATGTTTGGTTCTAGTTGCTTTATTTGGATTTTAGGTTCATTTGATTTATTTTTACCTATTATTTCTTTCTCCACTTCATCAAAATCATTATCATTTATTACATTTGTTATTTTATTATCTATAACTTCTTTATGCTCAGCAGCAATTATATTCCTTTTTTCAACCTTAGATACATCATTATCCTCGTTTAAAGCAATTTGTTCAGAAGATGCTTTATTTATCACAACTTCTCTTTCATTTTTGGGACTACATTTTGTTATAAGGTTAGAAGTTTCACTTTCTGGTTCTTGTTCAAATTGTTCAAGATTTATGTCTTTAAATTGTTTTAATTTTTCATCATTATTATCTTCATTATTGTCTTTAACAGTTATATTAGGATCCATTCCATGTTTGTCCTCTGACTTGAGAGTACTTAATATTTTTTCTTGAGCTTCCAATTCTGGTGTTGTGAAATTTTTATCATTATAGTACTTTTGTTTATATTTAGTAGCTCTATGATTCATACTTTGCAAATCACTTTCATTGAATATTGTTATCTCAATGTTGTTTCTTTCATAGAATGGTATAGTACAGAGGGCCAGATTAAGATTTTCCATATTTATATCAAAATATTTGTCATAGACCGAGGGACCTGTGGTAAGATCCCAAGATTTTTCATGTTTAAATTGAAAATGTCCACCTACTGACAGAGGTGCTTGGATAAGAGCCTGAAAGCAATATTTTTTTGTTTAATGCAGTTGTATGTTTACCAAAAATATAAACATAATAAAGTTAAAATGATGATATGGAAAGTAGAAAAAGTAGAATTTATTTAAGCAAACCTTAAGTTACTTCTAGAAACAATCAGATTGTTTAGAAATTGAAAAATAAAAATTGATAATAAATAAATTATAAGTAAATAATACTGGCATTTGTGGAGCCAATTTTCACTACATTTATTAAAGGTAGGTTTGTAATTTATTAACCGACTTCCAAAAACGAGGAGGTTTTCAATTCGTCGGAATCATATTTTTATGTATGTTCACCGATTACTGGAAGACGCCTAAACCAATTTGGAAAATTTTTGCTTTGTTTGAAAGGGTATTTTTCCCCCATGTCCCATATATGGTCCCATATATATTTTATCAAAATCGGTCGAGGGATTTTTAAAAAAAATCTACAATAAATATTTTTTTTAACAAATTGTTTAATCGAATATGTTATTAACTTTCTTCTTACAAATTACCTGCTTATTAAGTCTACACTAAAAATATAAAAATAAAAACTTAGAAAAAAAAACCGACTTCCAGGCACTAAATTGTAAAATATAACTAAATGGGGTTTTTATTTAGAATAGATACCTAATCAGATATTTTCGAAGTCGGTGCCAGCAGACAATATTTTAAGATATGAATATCTAATAGGTAAATATGTATTTTACGTATCGAAATATATTAGATTTGCTTTGCGTATCTATCTAAATGAAAACCTCAGTTTAGTTATTTTTTACATTTTAGTGCCTGGAAGTCGGTTTTTTTTAAAGTTTTAGAAACTGTGTACCTCATAGTCAGCACCTAAATTTTCTTGTTCATCAATCTCTTCATAGGTTTCAATGGGCATTTCATATTTGGCCCAGTTGCTTTGAATTTCTTTTTTCTTGTATTTAGTGTTAGCTTCTTCAGTAATCTTTAAAATATCATCAGTTTCTCTTTTTAGGCTTTTATAGAACTCTGGGCCAGGGGGTTCATAAGCAGGTTTTTCAGGTTCTGTAACTACAAGGTAAAAAAAATAATTAAATTATGTTATTATTAAAGGAAATATAGGAGAAAAGTCAGATTAATTATTTTCTTATAAGGATGATATTGCACTTTAACTACCTTTAGGAGGTTCTGGCTTATTTTCTATTTTCTTTTCAACAGGAGCGGCATGTTGTCGACCTCGTCTTCGTCGCTGTTCTTTAGCATCACCTTTGCCTTTTTCCCTTTAAATAAAATTGAACTTATTAAGAAGACATTTAAATCGCGTAATTATGATATAGATGATAATACTTACGAGTTTTTTTTTGTATCCTCAGGCATTTTTAATTAAATTAAACTGTATTTAAAATAAAACATCTGCTTAGTGTTTCATATAATTTGTCAAGCTCATATAAACCAATGTACCAGTATATATCTATACTCTTTGCCAATGTACTCTGTGGTCAAGCTCCTGATTTTTTGATTGTCAGTGTCACTTGCATAGAGTATATTGCTACATATATATTATATAAGTCACTTGTCACTTGGAACCACAGACCAGCATAGATAATTAAAAGTATAGGTATATTTATTTTTATGGAGTTATCCAAAGAAGAAGAGAGGTCACTTGCTCTTATGGTAATACGAATATCGACAAAAAATAAAAAAGTTAAGCTAAGTTAATTTATGAAGAGATGCGTCCTAATACTATAGTTTGGCAACATTCACAAGATATCCTTTTTTCTATCCTCCAGTTATTTTTAAATATGTTATGTTTAACAATCTTTTACAATACAGTATTTCATGCATACTTTATACCACGACAAGTATAAGTGCCTGAGCCTCATATAGAATATTAGCAACTACTGATTGAATACAAACATTTCGATCCGGTGCTGCATTATCGCGTTAAGAAATAATGAAACAAACTTTAATTTTTTTTTACTAAACTGCGTTGAAGCCCAAAGGGAGGTTATGTTTTTGACCTTTATGTATGTACAATGTATGTTCGATTCTATGTTCCCTCGTAATTACTAAACGGCTTAACCAAATTTGATCATTCATACGTTGTCTTGATAACGCCAGTAGTATAGGCTATATTGAAATTATTAAAAGTAAAAATAACGGGTTTTAGGAGCCAATTTATGTCTTTAAAACATTTTTTTCTTCCAAACCTATCGAGTAGGGTATCAAAATAAAAGTTTTATTTTCACTTACATACTTTGGACAGTGGACTTCGCCGCAGTCGGGTAAATAGCCATGTTCTCTAAAAGTGTAAAGTACCTATTATCTTATTACCTGTCTTCAGAATTCTGAAATAGACACAGATACACTCCTTTGCAAAAAAAAAACGGGCACTTTTGATTTATTCGAGTACTTTTAGTATTAACAGTTGTAAAAGATATTTGATGCAACAAAATAAAATAAATATTATTTACTGATGAAAAAACACCTTTGTTTGGTAATTAAGTCGATCTTAGTTTGTTTTATTTTGAGTTTTAGGAAATTACTCATTTTGACAAAAAATAAGGTAACTTCAATTGACTTTCTCCTTTATTTACTAAAAGTTACAAACAATAAAATAAAAATTAATATTGATTGTGGCCTCCTCTAGTTGAAATAACTGCTGCAATTCTTCGTGGCATGCTTTGGACGAGTTTTTTTATGAGTACTTGGGGAATACGCTCCCATTTGGCCGTAATAGCAATTTTAAGCTCTTGGATGTTCTGTGGGGTCTGTGTCTCAATTACTAACGACAAAATCGCTAATCGCGCTGTTATGATATACTCTGACGTCATATTCGGTCTGACCAATTGCGTTGCTTTTCAACTACTTTGAATTTCCCACTTGTTTTTGCACTTCTTAATAATTATTTTCTTAATCAAAAAGAAATTACATTAAAAGTATTAATGTAGGCTTAATTCAAAAGCAATAAAGATTATAAAAAAAATATTTCACCTTTCATTACATCACACGCATATTCCCTATTATTATCTGATTACAACAAAACATATTACCTACTTAAGTATTCGGTATTCGGCCAAATAGTATCTAGATATTCGGTATTCGGCCAATTCGTTGCAAGTCTAGTATAAAGTGTTTTTAACGACGGTTATGTCCCATAGTTTCCTTTGACTACCTCTTTATAGCAAACTGTCACAAAAAACTTTTCTACTTGTTTTCTTCTAGTTCACGCTCGTCATTTTTAAAGAAAAGACTTCATAAGTATCTACTATAGACTACCGCAACAAATATTGCAATGCGGAGGCCCCAAAAGAAAATAAATATAGACCTCAGTCCTCACGTAATGCAAATTAACGTAAATCACAATTTTATGAACAAATTAACTTTACAAGAATATTTAGTGACTTATATTTTAGATTTATTCAATAAAACAAGTGCTTAGTAATATTATTTACATTTATGACAAAAACAAGAATTAATCGCAAAAGGGTAGGGGAAAGGGGGGTACAGTGAGCCGTAGTACACAGTGAATCAGTGGCTACTTCTCTTTGCCTATGCTTTCTATACACGTACCATAATCATGGAAGGCATGCTTTAGTACTTACACCTCTACCCCGCCAGTGTCCATCACGCTCTCGCTGTTGAAGAATGTGTTACCGCCATTTGGCTATCCGTGAGTATCAAAACTATTTTTTTACTACTATTACTCGAGTGTTTTATTCACGAAAATGTTTAATATTGAATGACTTACTTTAAATTACCTAAACAATAATCTAATAAGCTTCAGAAATAAATAGCTGTTTGATTCGTATAGATTATGTAAGTTATAGGAATTTGTTGTTCAGTTGTTAGTGGTGCTTTGGGGAACAGTGGGCCATTTCCATGTGGGGTACAGTGGATTGGCGATCCACTGTACTCCACACTAAATTTCGAGTTGATTAGACTATTTTATTTATAGTATGTAATAATAAATTGTTATAGATTAACATCATAGCACGGCACCGAAAGAGAAAGACTCAAATTGGTCTTACTACTGAATAACTGAATAGATAAAATGCCATTGTCTTTGTTTTACGGGGCAACAAAATTAGAAAAGTTGTAAAACTAGAAAAATAATCCATATGCAACCTTACATAGATATTATGCGAAAAGATATAACACATTGGCAAGCTACGTTTAACTCCCAATCATGGGGTAAATAAGATTTTCACTGGAAAAAGAATTAAATGTAAAGAATATATCGAGCAACGTCAAAAAGATAAAATTAATAAGCTTGTGAAAGTAGCAAAAAATATTAGTAAAAAAGTTATGCAGTTCTATTCTAGTGACGAAGATAGAAAAAAACAAAGGAGTAGTACAAATTAAGAGAGAGAAACGACTAATAAGTACAAAGAGAATGAAAAGAAAAAATTCTGCGTCTAGTATAGTTAGATGCACATAAAAATAAGTATTTTACACAGGAAAGGGAAAGAGAACAAAAGTAAGGAATGGGTACAGATTACCTGATGTTCCAAATATAGCTTCAGTACCCCTAGTATATATAATAATGAAATTACCTCTGCCTACATTTTGTCGCACTAAACGATAACAGCAAGTCTATAAATGAGATCAATCTCAATTTTTTTCGCTTAAGTTTGCGTTAATTTTTTTTTCAATTTCTTTTCGTATTAACGTGATATGTTTTTATTTTTGAAATTAGTTTTATTGTGTATATGTTTTATTTTGTTTCGTTCAAGATTTATGTTATCCAGTTAATAATTTTTAAACCTTAAATAATACCTTAAACTTCTTAATATAAATACTAAGTACATGTTTTATAAGATATCACTACAAGTAATGTGTTACTTACGACTGATAGAAAATAAATAGAGATTGATAATTTTGTAATATTGTTGATTAAAAGTGTTCACATAATTCATAAATATTTTTATTTATATAATTTTTTTACAATATTGATTGATTCGCTGTAACCCAAAAGTAAAATGTATGATGATTTCATGTATTGATTCACTGTGCCCCAATAAGATCCACTGTACCCCATGCGGAGATCCAATGTACCCCATATATGGGGTACAATGAATAATTTCCCACTTTTAAAAAAAACCTTTGCTTTCAGAAAACTATTAATATTATTGCTAAAGTTGAACTAGATTTCTATAGCCAACTTAACACCTCATTGCTCTACATATAAATATTGGTAATTTATACTTTTTTTTATAGGTAAACTACATTTGAAAAAAAGTGATCCAGTGTACCCCCCTTTCCCCTATTTGATAAAACTAGATACGCATAACGCATAATAACGAAAATAATTCCGATTAGTATTAGTAACCGGATATACCCATTATAGATTTCTCATGTGAAATTCGTCTATTAGTAGGTAATGACGAGGTTATTGTTGATCATCATTATTTTACAATTAGCTACCAAACAGTTATTGAATTTAGTATTCATTATTCAGATACTTTTTTGAATTAAAGTTGACTTACTATCCTTATTCTCTGTTTCTTTCTCTAATGCAGCTCTTTTTAACGTCCCTTTGTTGGGAACGCTCCCTTCCAAGCAAGGAGAATCAGGCCATGGTCTGCTACGCAAGTCAAGGTTTAGCAAGCTCTACATGTCTTTTCAAAAACTAGTTAGGTTCTAATTAGGTCTATATCAGAGATGCGAGACCCCGGATTTGAACCCGCTTCACTTGATCTTTCAAGCGAGCGCATTACAACTGATCTACCAATGCTTATAGTATCTAGTACTTAGTAACACTGAGAAAGGACTGGTTTGGGAAGGATTAAAACGTGTTAAAGTATTAATGAAGATGCGTAGGTAGACTTCCCAAGTATATCCCGACATGATGCTTACAGCCCACGCGTGGGGTATTGTTAAATATTATTGTTTATATACATTATTGAATTATAACTGTAGCATAGAGTCCATTGTTTAAAGAATATCGTTTACAGAGAGCAAATTATAAGCACATATAGCAATGTATACTATACACGTAATATAATCTTTTTCGGTCGCCCACCGTTGAAACATAATAACAAGTTATGGCAGACAGCTTCATTGTATATTTACGATAAAAACAATAAAAAGGGTGCTTTACAAATGGAAGGGAACAAGGGCAACAAATCATCTATTGTAGAGAGCATTGTTCTTTGTGTTCTTGATTATGGTTGTTCACTGTGCTTAGTGGTACTCTAACGAAAGTGCAAACTACGTAATATTTACTTTTTTTGAGATTCTACTTATGAATACGCAAAGAATACAGGTATAAGCAAATATTATATACAAGTATCAGACATATACAAGTAACAGAGCTTCGCTCGGCGCTTTTCAGAAAAGATATAAAAATTATACAAAATTTGATACAAATTTTTTGCGAATTACTTTAAATATATACGAAGTACTTTTTTTTGTAAAGGCCTGAGTATATCCCAAAATTTTAAGTTATGAACATAAACCTGGTAGATAGAGAGAGAGACTATGTGCTCTACACAAAAAAATGAGATATATTCAGGAAATTTCCGGTTAAGCGATTATCGCTAGATATAATATAATATAAAATAAAATCGTAATTTCAAACAATATATATTATATTTTTATAATAATATTATATAAACATGTATTATGAATTAAATTGCATTACATTTAAAAAGTATAAATAGAAATGAGGTCTAATATCTCATCTGCTCTATTAATCTGTGTACCAGGAAGAAGGAAGGAAGGATGGGAGCGCGGGCGAGACAGGGGTGACGCATGCGCGCGCAAGGGCGGCTGCGCGCAGTCGCCACGCGCCCGTCCTCTAAACAACATGGCGTGCAAGGACATATTCGACAGCCCCGAAAAATATAACCAGCTGTGCAGTGTTTAATACATAAGTGTTATTTTTAGTGAAGTGTTAACTGTGAGTGTTTGGAATACCAGCGTACGTGCGCTATTGTTTTCATTAGGTAAGTAAAACATTATAATGTTATATTGTATTTGAATGTTAGTTTTTGCGATTTATTACGGATTGCCGGCGTTAAACTCTACCCCTGTAACTAGATTTCGATGCACCCCGAACACACCCTTATTGCCATATTGCCAAATAATGTAACCCTCGGATTAGTGTCCGCAATTTTCATTCCTGTGCTTTCATAAAATTTCATTAGTGGTAACTCCGACAAATCTTGGAAAATAAAGTAAATAATTACAGGAAAATATAGAAGAGTAAATATTCGTTCGCTCGCTTTTTGGTTATATTTAATTGAATATTGTGTTCTTAATATTTTTAAATAAAAAAGAAAGGCGAAAAACATTACCAGCTGTCGATATTTCATTTCTATTTAATTACTTCATAAAGTTTATTGTATACCGTGTACGTAACAATTGTTTGTATACAAGTGCACATAAAAAAAAGTTGAATATTCAACGATGTGCATATGCGGAATTGAAATAACTACGCAATATTGCAGGAAAAGTAACATAATTAGAGTTCACTACGTACTTTGCGGTTTCGAGTTTTTGTGCTCCCATAACTCGACAACTCTATAATTTTAAGATAATAAGATGGGATTGTAATGGGAATATATGATATAACTTAGTCATCGTGTACAATTGCCAACAATATGAATGTATAACAAACATTTATTTGTTTTTTATAATATGATTATAAATAAAGATTGTTTGTACAGGAAATTGTAATGTGGTTGCAAAATTTTATATTTAAATCATGTTAGATTTATTTACAATTCATAAATGTTAAGCATTTTTCGTAATTTAATTTCATTTATACAAAAGAACATTAGTTCTTAAACTTTGGCGAAATGGGACTCTACGTCGATTATAATGATTTAAGGTAGGTAAATAAATACTTTCATGACTTTGTGCCTATCAGTTTTGAAGTAAAAACAGCAAATGAATTACGAATCTTTAATGTGTAATACAATATATGTCTGGATTATATTTAACAATTCCTTGAAAAAATTGTAATGTTTAGTATAGATTTCTCAGAGATGAGACATTTTCCCGCAGTATAAAGTATCTTATATGTTGACCCGGATAACCACCTAGTATCATACCCATCAAAATCTGTCCAGTGGCTTTCTCGTGATGCGGTCTCAGACAGACAGACAGACAAAAAATCTAAAAACTATAAATTCGGCCTCTGTATCGGTAATAATGACTATTTCAATAAGATTTTCCAAAAAATATTCAATGTACAGATTTGACTCTTATTGAATTGATTCGAATTTTATTGTATAGAATACCTACATGACGATACAAGGATATACTTGCACTGATAGGAATTACGATCTATGATAGATCTTCTATCGTACAGTGACATTATATGTAGTTTGATAAAATGAATTACTAAAAACATATTGTTTTTTTTTTTATCATTTCACACATATTCACTTATTGGATGAAATCACTATCGATGGAAGGGTACGTGATACGTCATCTTTCCCATCAGGTTCATTTTATATCAAATTCTGTATAAGAATCCATATTAAAAAAATTGTACAAGTTATACGGTTGATCCATTAAGTCTTTCGCTTTTTTATATTTTTGTATATACCTATGATATAATTTTTTTTTATGACAAAATTTTTGTGTCGAAAAAGTCAACATCAGCGTTAAAAATAAATGTTATTTAAATTGTCATTCATGTGCATTTTACGTGCTCTTATTCGATGTTTATTTTAATTAGATCGTCTAAGGAAATAATAATACAAGCAAATACTGAGGTTACGTGAATTGATTAGTTATATTTTGATATTTTAGTATATTGTTAAATTATATTCCAGTAGTCTTAAGTTTTGCGTAGAAAATACATATTGTTTCTTGAAGTATTGTTAAATGAATCATAGTGTTTATTTAACTGATTCAAATCGTATGCGTCAGACCAAACCAGCTAAAGAACAAGCCTTGCTCTATTTGATAAAATAAAGTGAGTTCACACTTAAAGCCTCAGTAAATATAAAAAAATGCTTACTTCATTCTGTAGTTTTACTACCACATATTCATACCACATATGTAATACATTATAAGCGTAAAAATGTTGTAGAAATAACATCGATAGATACACGATTAGACCTTTTTTTGTTATCAAAAAAGACTCCCGCAGATCTTTTTGCGCATTCGTAGTACATTATAGCAATCGCAAAAGTATGTTTTAATATGTATCAACTATTACCGTATCTAGAAATAATTGAATTTGTCGCTTAAAAATAACCAATGTGGTGTAATTAAATTTAAAAAAATCAAACTTCTTAATGACGTAATACCTTATAATAGATATAACGTTTTAGTAAAATAAAAAAGAATAAAATTCGTTGACTCATAGTAGAAGATTAGCACAAAGGATGCTGAATTGCATCTTAGGTTTATGCAGTCGAAGACATTAATAAACTTGGATGTGTGCCAACTAACAAGACGTCCTTACATAATAGTATCCTGTGACACTATAAAGTATGGCTTAGAATATAAACTGCAGTTAAACAAGCTAATATAATTAAGCGGAGCCTCGAACATTATTGAGTTTGATTACGATAGATTTTTAAAAGAATGTTCTAAATAATCACTACGTATTATAAAATAAAGTCCCCCGCCGTGTCTGTTTGTCTATCTGTCTGAACCCGTTGAATTCAAACACTACCGAACGGATTTTCATACGGTTTTCACCAATAGATGGGGTGATTTACGAAGAAAGTTTTAGGTGTAGGTATAATTTATTAAAGTTTTGTGTAAATTGACTGAAATATGACGATGATTGTTGAAGATGTCGGAAAAATCATGTCCACTGGGAGCTTTATTGGCGTGCGCCGCGTAATCTAATAAAATTATATGAAAACAATGTATTATAGAATTATTCTTCTTAAAGAGATCTTTCTATTAAACTGTAGCAACGCTATGTGCACGTACTTAGGGACGCACCGGAGCGAAGTGAGGATAAGTCACTAGTAAAGCTGTGAAATATCCTATTTTACAGAAAAAGTCCATGTCCATAATAGATTTCGTCTATTGGAAATCCTTTGTTAGGGATAATACCATATATAAAATCAATAGAGTAAAATAATCTAGGACACCATACCAGTATACCAGTAATGTCGTTACGATACGTTTAATTGGTACCGATACGAAATAATAGTTTTCTTTATTGGAAGACCTCCATTTTGGATTAATATGCGACGTACATTAGAAAATGTTTGGCACAAATAAGCACACGCATAGCATATTAATTTGTTTAAAATGTTTAGCGAGTTATGTACAAGTTTTTGCCGTGGCTTCGCTTGCTTGGTAGACTTTTGTCTTAGTGCAAGATAAAAACTATATTCCTTTCGAATTTCACTCAAATCTGTTCAATAATTAGAAAAGTAACCACCAGATATACCTACTCACTTATTTTCACTTAGAAACTTACAAGCTATATCATACGAGCGTAAAAATATACTTGATAGAGCATTTTGCATCATTAAGACTACATATTCACACAATATTCATAAAGTTGGGTCTACATCTAAATAGATTGTTTGAATGAAATGAATTCATTCAGAAGGAATTCATTCAACAAGACAACCGTACTTAGTTGAAAGCTCTCTTTCATTATAATATTGTTTATTGATAGTTGTCCCTGAACTTACTTTTTCTAAATAAATGCCTACATTATTGAGAAAGGCCGGTTCGCCAGGTCTTTGAACCTCGAAATTCCCCTCCAGTGTTGAATTTGCTATATTTAGAAATGCACGTTCTTACCAAATTAGGAAGTTATTACTCAAAATCTAGGAATGCGTTACAATATAAATTACCATAAATTATTAAGTGTACGTTAAAGAATTTCGCTTTAGTATTCTGAGTAATTAAAAAACTATATTCAATCTTTATAATATTGAATGAACAGTTTTGTACAGGTATTATTATATATACATTTATTTCGTGTATCTCGGAAACGGTTCTAGCGATTTGGATCAAATTTTGTATTTAGCCTTTGCCTTTCAAGTTTATCTATAAAGGAAATGGAAAAACGTAATTTTTATATCTTTACCGAAAAAACGCCGAGTGAAGATCGGTCGTCCAAGGTACTATTCATAATAACTAGTGAGTGAGACGGATAGTTCTTTGAAGGCGAATAAAACCAAAATTCTATGTATGTCCTATTTTACATACAAAAGCCTCTTTATTTATTCAAGGTAAATTATACTAATAACTAACTATTGAGTTTTGCCACTTTTATGATTTTATCATTAAGGCATATGGTTCTGAATGTTATTTAATATTTTCTCTATAATTTTCTCATACATAGATGGTAATATTGACATAGACTCATGGTATAATTTGGTAATACTCACACCTTTTTCACACCATTCTTTACTTGTGAATTTGTCATTTTCAACTATTAGAGATATGTATATTGTATACTAATGATTTTCATTATTATTTAACTTATGTCAGTCGGTATTTATAATAATTTAAGATTGCTATACTTGAGGGCATCATTAAATTAAACCACATACCATATTGGATTTGTAAATCAAACGAATGAATAATGTTCAGTATTTTCATAATAAAGCACGTAAGCTACAATAATTATATTATGTTTGTAAAGATTTATCACTTCCATTAATAGATTGTCGAGTCCTCGTAATCATCTGCATATATTAGTAATCTTTATGTATATCAGTTATCTCTTTGTCTTGAATATAATAAATGCTGTAATACTTTACAGATAGCAAAAATGTGTCAGTCAAGTAAGACAAAGCGGTAGAACAAAAAGATTTGACTGCATATAAATCACGCATTCTGCCTCCGTTTGAGCAGGCGGTCGATCTGGTTCCTTGATTGTAAGGACTGCTTTTTATTTGAGAATAGCTCATTGTGAGCGAGATC